AATGCGGCACGTCTCCCGATGAAACGTATCAGCGAAAACGCAGGTGAAGAGGGTGCTGTCACTGTGGAGAATGTTGCAGAGTATAATGACTGTTGTATGGGCTATGATGCTCAAAATGCTCGGTACGTTGACATGTTTGAGGAAGGCATTATTGACCTTGCCAAAGTAGTCTCATCATGTGTGGTTGATGCGGCCTCGGTGGCCGGTTTGATGATTACTACAGAGGCCAGTGTATGTGATTACTGTGCAGAATGAGAAAAGTGGAGCAGGGAGGGAAAGGGTGAGGGACTTCTCAGATTGGTGATAGATGGCAACAGGGCAATGGAATCATCGAGAATAGCTGCGACATGAAAGAAGGAGGAGGACAATAATGGTGGTGATAGGTTTGTGTATGTGTGTACGCGTTTTTTGGCATGGAGAAGTGGCTTCGTTTACAGTTCAAACCATTTTTTTTTTTTAAGGGCCGACGCGCCTCCTGTGGGTCGGTGATAACGACGAGGAAAGATTAAGTGGTGATGGACAAGGTGGTGGATGACATTCTCACCCCTGCGTGGATATCCCCACTCTGTCACAGTTCCACTGCAACTTTTTAAAGTTTTTGATCTTTATACATATATAACATTGGCTCCCTTCTCTCCACCATCGAGTTGCGCAGGTGTGAGTGAGTGAGTGTGTGTGAGAGAGAGAGGTAGCGAAGGTGGGTGTGGGAGTTCCCGCATTTGCGTTTGGGTGTGGGGTAAGGGGAAATGTTGCGTCTAACACGTCTCTTTCTGGAGATGGCTCCAGAGCTGCAACTGGAATACGTGCCGTTGCTCTTCATGCGCACCATCCTCGGGCCAGATGGCGGTTTTGCCGGTGAGGAGCGCCTTATTAAACGCGAATTGGCTCGAAAGTACATTGAAGATGGTCATGCTGTAACGCCCACAGAGGAGCTTCGACAAGGGCTCTGGTGCTTTGACCCGGACACGAATCAGTATGATCGATTTATAGAACGAAATGAGGAGTTTCTGGATTTTGCCGCACGCAAGCGACAGTGGCTTGATGTCTACTGGCGAGTGAACACAGGATACCTGTTGTTTGGACGGCAGTCATGGGGTCAAGGCTTTCTTATTAACTGTCCATTACGAAAAAAGGACGTGGCGCAGAAGCTTTGGGAACAGTACAAAGTTCGTGTGGATCCTAGACTCGTTGAGTTTCGCGAGAAGGATCGTCGTACAGGCATCCAGGACCTGGGCCACAACTGGTGCTGGTTATATTTACCAGGGGCAGAAGAGTTAGGCATCGACCGAGAGGTGTATGACAACAAGCGTGTGAAGGTCCGAATGCACATACGCAAAATGACATCCATGTACTCCCTTTACTGATGGATGGGTGATGATGATTGTGCATTTATTGGATGTGTTTGCGCTGCTTCTGTCAGTACCGATGACGTTTTGCGCTCTCGATCTATCCCTCTCTTTGTGTATGTATGCATCTACTGCCGTGACTGGTGCTAGGATTGCTAGGTATGTGATCTTTCTTTTTTTTTTTTACTTGCCGCTTCCCGAGTAGTAACGGGTAATAACAAAAGGAGACTGTATTTAATTAGGGGTTATTATTTGTATATTTATAGCGGTGTGCTGAGGAATAAAAGGGCAAACAAACTTGTATTGAGGGAGAGGAAGAGGGTCAAGTAATGTTCAAAGCACTGCAAAAGCGTGTGCTGACACCTTCATTGGTCTTAATGGGGTCAAATCGTTACTTATGCACCACACGTTGCACATGAGAGAAACCGAACAGGCCTGCAATGGATCAAGAAGACAGGGAGGAGCTGGAGCGGGAACAACAGCTGCGTGAACGCTTTTCGCAAAAGATTGAGGAAGCCATGCCGCAGCACGCGCGGCATGGCACTGGTAATTGTAGTAGTGGGACTTGCGGGGCTCAACCGACCTCCTCGACCGCGATGTTTTTCCGATTTATGTTTTTCTTGACTTCAATACTCCTCCTTTTGGGACTCACACAAATCACCGACGCAAATTCTCCTTTAAACCTCATGCGGAGCATGCCTTGGTGGCAGCTGCCCATATCTTCAGTTTCGTACTTTACACTTATGGCAGCTTTGCTGCCGTACAGAGAGCAGCGTCGGATAAAGGAGGAATATGAGGCTGCCTCAAAGCTTAATCCATCACTGACGCTTGATCAGTTCTTTGCCCAGCGCTATCCCACTATCTTCCAAGGCTACCACACTCAGCAGCAGGAGGTTGTGGCAGCCGTCTCTGCATGCTTTGCCTCAGCCAATGACTTGAAGTTCGTCAAGTCTGTTTCGCGTGCTGCGGGGTCTGCCAGAGATATAAGGGCCTCCGTCGACAATATAATAGGAACCCTGAAGCGGGATTATCCACATCTCTTTCAAAGCAACGGAACCTCGCCAGTGCCATCGATGAGAGTGTAGCCATGCAAAGAGCTTAAACCAAAAGTGCCCAAAGACGACGATTGGCGGTCATTTCCCATGAAAAACAAATCAGTACTGTTGCTAGTTTGCTGTGGTCTCTTCCCAATAACAGCAGAAATATATATATATATATATCACCTTTACACTTATACAAGAACGCAAAAGACACCTTCGCCCTGCTCTTAATCTGCCTCTGGTTACATGGACTGCTTTTTTTTACCTCTCAGACGACTCTCGTTTCCTTCAATCTTGTCAGACGAGGGTTGCTTAGCTAGAGTATATAGTGTGAAACAAAGATGGGATGCACCGAGAAACAATATGCGCAGCTCCCAACTGGCGAGAGTGACGTAACAGAGGTAATAGGAAAACCGGGTGGAATTCAATCAAATTTTCCCTACCACTGGTTGGATTCCAAACACCCTGACAAAGCACGACGACGTATTGGGGACCTTTATTGGAATGGATGGGCTGCATTTGTTATTGGGTTTGCACTTTCTGGTGTGGGCATGACTTTTTTGGTGTTGGGTTTGGGCTGTCTGGTGTTTGTGGAGGACGCTCCGCGTGGTTTTGCCCTGTTTTTTGTAGGGGTTTTGCTGTCGCTCCCGGGCGTGTACAGTCTGATTGTATTGTGGTACTATGTGTGCGGGAATAAGAATTACTCCTACTTCCAGTTGCTCGTTGGGTAGCACACGCCCATGCATCGTGCAGTTGGGTCTGCTGGTGTGTGTGTGTGTGTGTGTGTGTGTGTGTGTGTGAACGCCACAATGACGCGTTTTTTATGTTTTTTTTTTTTTTGGTGTGTGGGGGGTGGGGGTGCCCTTGCGTGTCTGTGTGTGTCTGATGGTCGTAGCAAAGTGGTCTTTGCTTCGTTCCACTATAGTGAGGTTGCCGCATTTTTTTTCTGCCTGCTGCTTCTGCCGTTTTTTTTTGTTTATTGTTTCGGTCCGAGGTAGAAGCATCCCTGCTGGTGAAGAACTGGAAGGGAAACTTGATTTATACGTGGGGAGGCAGGGGTCGGCAGCGTGCGATTGGGTGGCGGAGAGAGTGAAGGGTCTGCGGATTGCCTGCTAACCTCCGTTTTCCAGCAGTCGTGACACCCGCACGAAACGAAGAAGAGTACGCGCATACGCATACACACGACCTGGCACACGTGGTTTTGTCATGCAAAAGACGGCTCCGATTGTTGACTTGGAGACTTTTCTTCGTGACTCGTTTCCGTCACACAGTAACTTATTCACAACGGAGGATGTCGTCCGTGCGCTTGCCGATTACACGGGAACATTGCACTGGGAGGCATCTCTGGCGGTGGACCTGCGTCAGTCACACCATACCTTGCAGCAGGTGCAAACCTACGCGACAAAAATAATGATGGAAAAGAGAGAAATTAGTCAAGAAATATCCCGCACGATGGCGATGCTGCAGACAAATGAAGACGTATTCGAAGACAAAGAAGCCATGTGGCAAAGTGGAGAAGATTCAACTCCTTTGCCTGTCAAACCGTGCGTGCAAAAAATGAAAAAGATATGCAAACAATTTCGAGAAAGTGGGACGTGCAAGTTTGGTTCACGGTGTCTCTATCACCACTCAGCTCCGTTGCAGGGGCATGCAGCGGAATCCAACGCGACGAAGGCATCAGTCGGCCATTCGTTGGGTATTATGGGCCGGTGCGTGGAAAAGTTGCAGGATTTAAAAGTCTCTAGTGAGGCATTCGATTTGCATTCAAAGAGAAGGAAGCCTGCGGTGCTGGCCGCCCTGCCATCATCTACCAACAATTACTGTTCGTCGCCACTAACCCCACCCAATGCTACTCTGAAGGTCACGACGGAGATGCCACAGGATCCCTCAAATCCATTTAATTATACTGCGTGCTCAACGTTTACGGCTGTGGGCAGTGTTGTTATGGTCCCACTTTCGTTGCCTAATGGAACGATATACGGATACGCTCCCCTTTCGCTCCAGATGCCAGTTGTTCAATACCCCAATCAATAAACGATTACGTGTTCTTTTTTTTTTTGTTGTTGGAGGGGGGATCTTTTCTGTTTCATTGGGTTTATGATTTATTTGTTTATTTCTCCTCAGTCTTCATCACATATTGACTTCTTTGCTGAGCCGCCGTTCCCCCACTTCTCCGCCAAGAGGAGGAGGAAGTCATGGACGTGACACCTTTATTATTTTGCTCAGGGTTGCTTTTTGGTTTTCTTGTTGTTGCCTGGGGGTCGTTGGAGGAAATGGGTGTCCGTTTCTTAGCTGTGAACAGATAGTGGGGTATTTTCTACGGTAACTACAGAGTTTTGAGAGTGATAGAGCGGGCCGTAGCCACGACTTCTTTTTCGGCCGCTTTTTTTCTTTTCTTCTTTCATGTTTATTTATTTTTATTTTTTGTAACGACGGGGTGTAAAATGAATAGGCACTATGTCTTTTGTTTCTCATACTTGTTGTTGTTGTTCTTGCTCTTCTTGCCGACCCAACCGCGCGCATTCCGTTTCCTTCTCCCCGTCTGTATACGCAGGTGTAATTCGGTAGGAGTGGGGATGCTGCGGAGTACCTGCAGATGTCTGTTTTCGACGTTCGCACTGAACCCTGAGACCTCCGCCGCCCCGCATGGTCCCCCGCGTGGTCTTATCAATCGATATGTTTCCATGGGGCTCCCCCCGTGGGCGGCGTGGTGCAACAAAGTCAACCGTTATTCGCTTTACCGTATGAGTGGCGTGGCCCCACGCACTTTTTTGCCAAAGGCCCCACATGAAATGGATGTCATTTGGCTTAATGAGCGCGTCAGAGAGCGTGTGCGGACCTCCCGATCGGTTCAGAACGTCTATCGACAGCTGAAGTATCCTTACGTCAAGACAGGTATTCACTACAGCGACGTGCTGGACCACTGGGTTCAGGTTCCGATGGTGGAGGCGGCGATGTTTGAGGTTGAAAAGGATGGTGGGTTTGATAACTTTATCCTGAAGCGGTCGGGGCCTGAATTGCGCTCAACCTACGGGGAACGCATCCGTCGGCATATTTTAGTGCGGCAAAAAGAAATTCAGAAGAATTTTGTTTTGGCTCAACAAGCGAAACAACTGGCAGAGGTCATTTATGAGGAGATCCTGCCCTTGCAGGATGAAGCCGCTGCAGAGGCGGTGTTGGCGAAGTACGGAATTGAGAAGCAACAATTTTTGGAAGAGATGGCGCGCATCGTCGTCGCGCGGAAAGGAAAGGCGAATGCCGTGGACGTGGCTACGGAGGCGTTATTGCCGTGATGAATTGCTGATGGAGGAAGCAGTGCAAGAAGGAGCGAGGCGAGGAGGGTGGAGAGAAGAAGAAAATGCGAATTTGGAAAGAGACCTCTCTTATCTCCGCATACACGTGAAGCGACAACTCGTTGAACATTTGTTTTTGTTTGCTTGTTGTTGTTCCCTTTTTTAGTGTTGTGCCTTCTCTTCACTTCTACAATCTAATTGTCATTGTTGTTGTTGTTGTTTTTCTGTTTCTGTTCATTTCATCCTATTAGCTAACAACGTGTGCAGAGAGTTGTGGAGCTGATGCGCCAGGCGTTACGTCTTGGCTACCAAGCCTATGTTCCAAAGGGCGCGATTCTCAGAACAGAGGCGCTTTCTGCGTCGCCTCACTTAGTGACTTCCGTGTTTCGCGAAACAGAGGCCGCGGCTGCACGTGCAGACAAGGCAAAGGAAGACGCAGGCTTTTTTAGCCTGCCCCGACTGAACTATCCAGTCGCGTCTGGCATTCCGGCATTTATCTCCAAACGACAGTTTGATGTCCAGTACAATATTTTTCACCGCGATACAGTACAGACGCTCAATCAACATACATTAGGTACTTCACTGGAGGGTCACAATCTTGAGACGGTCATTCGTAGGACGTCCTTTGATGCCACACAGGCAGTGACGCACACCGCGGCGGCAGAGCACTTTAACTATTGTTTTTTTTACAAGTCACTGCGGCCATGGGGAACGACCGTACCAAAACAACTTAGCGAGGCTTTTCAATTGCAATATGGCCGCAACGGCTCGTTAGATGTGGTGCAGGAAATAAAGCGCCTGTTAACTATTGCTGTTCTCTCGCACCAGGAGCGTTGCGGTTGGGTTTATCTGGTTTGGACGGGAAAACAGTTTGATGTTGTGGAGTTTCCGCACGGTGCTTGCCCCATCGCCAGTGATCTTGTCCCACTCCTGGCGATTAACGTACACGAGAGCGCCTATTCCCTCGACTATGGCCACTCGGGACTGGAACAATACACACAAAATTACTTTAAGGCATGTAATTGGACTCTCGCTGAACGCTATTACTTTCAGGCGACTAAACAGTTGAGTTACGACGTATGAAGGTATATGACTGAGAGGGAATTTGTGCTTGAACTATTTTTGTCGTGTGTTTTTTTTTTTTGTGGTGTCCCTTTTTCCTGTTCATGTTTGTTGCATGTGTGTTAAGGCGAAGGAAAGGGAGCGATGATGGTGTGGTGGTGGAAAATGCTCATTGGTGTGTGCAGGCGTGAGTGACAGCAACTGTGAAGGTGGTACCTTTGATTTTTATTTTATCTTTGCTTTTGTTTTTGTTTTTGTTCTCTCACCTTTTGTGAGGGTCTCTTTTTTTTTCCCCCACTTCTGTTGTCTCTTTTTCTCGCTTTTCTGTACACACACACACACACACACACACCTGGCGGCGCACACACAACTTATTGTCATAGTTGCGTATGCGTTTTTAGTTGTTGCTTTTTTTTGTTTCCGCCAAATTTCTATTATTTGCTCTTCATACTTCCAGAATGGTGCTGCCTCCTTGCCACGTGTACTCCGCTCTGGTAAAGAACACTGCCCCCATTGTGGTGAAGGTCAAGGCCACGTACGCCATGCCTAATAACATGGCCGATGTGGAGGTGGAGGTACCCATTGGGCCCGGTGAGACGACGCCTCTGGAGCAGAAGACAGTGCAGGTCGACCAGATGACGTTGACAGGACACATTTGCCGTATTTCCGTTGAAGGTGGGGCGTTGCTGGAAGCTCCTTTCAGTGGAGTGTCGTCTCCCGTAAAGGACTACGTGGTGGAGGTTCACTCCGACGGTGGTGCGCTGCGGCTGCATGCAATGGGCAAGAAGTTAACTTAGTGGAAATTTTTTTGCTCATCATTCTTTGTATCGCACTCAAAAAAAAAATTACCCCCCATAGTGGAAATATGCGGTTTTGGCCAAACGTGACGTGGAAAATATTTACTTGCCATGCTTCTGCACCTGTATCGCTTGCATGCATACAACAATGTATTTATCTCTCTCTTTAGCTGCATATATTTAGGTTGAAAATTAGTGGGGAAATGCGTAAGTAGAGGAACTTCACTGAATGGGAGGATGATTGTCTTATTTTAGTTTTGTCGCCTATTAATCGAATTTCTCTTTCTTGAATTTTCTGTTTCTAACGATGCTGCGTTCGGGAGGCGGTGTGAGTGCAGCTCTTTCTGTGTCCTCCCAGTCCGACCGCCACCACCACGACGACCACGGCCACTGATGCATTCCACACAGAGGGGAATCCCGTGGTTGCGGGGGCATCAAAGACTGTCACTTCATGAGTTTTCAGCGAGAGCCCGGCTATCACAGCACTCATTATTATTATTATTTTATGTAGTAATTGTTTGCTGTTTGCGTGTTAGGGAATTAATCACGTTTGAACTGAAATTTGAGAGGAAGGGGCCAGACTTTTTATTTTCTTGTGGTGCCCGTTGTCCATGCGAGGAGAAAGGGAAGGAAAGGTGAGGGGGGTGGGCGATAGGATTTTATTCTGTCCAACACGCTCTGTAACGTATTTAACGATCACGCGTATACGCTTGCGTGTATGTGATTTTCCCACATCTCTTTTTTTTTTTCTGTGGAAGAGGTTTATTAGCTTACAACAAGAGCATCCCTCACACAATGTCGTCCCGTCAAGGCGGCAAGCAGAAGCCTCTCAAGGCTCCCAAGAAGGAGCGCATGGAAGACGACGATGACGACATGGCTTTCAAGCAAAAGGTGCGTGAACAGCAAAAGGCGGAGAAGGACGCCATCGCGAAGCTGAAGAGTGGAAAGAAGTAAAAAAGCGTCTTTCCAAGGTTCATCGATGCACGTAACGAGGAGTGTGACAGCAAGAGAGAGAAGGTGGGGATTGCGCGAGCGTGAGAACCCGCAGATAAAAAAAATAATACAATGGTAATAGGAGGGCTCGGCCTTAAAAACACATGTCTCCCCGCACATGTACATGCACGGTAGCCAATGTGTACAACTCCATTTTATCGCTTTGTTGCGCGTCAGTTCTTTTTTTCCTTCCATCTGTTCCCACAGTTTTTTTTTCTGTTTTTTGGGTTTTCTGTTTGCCCGTTTGCTTTGATTTTTCTTTCTTCCTCTTTCTTGGTTGGTTGTTTCTATCATAAATGATTCTCTGCGTGTTTGGAGCGGGGTGAGGCAACAAAGCAAACAAGTGCTGTTATTCGTTAAACCAGCTGCAGAATTGCATGGTGAGTGGGGCTGCGGAGGCGAATTCTACCATGCTTCAGTCTTTGACGGAGGACCACCGGAAGCTCGTCTTCTCCTTCATTCGCATGCTTCGCGAGGTAGATTCGCCCAACCCAGAACGCGTGAGCGCTATCGTCCAATTACTTGGTGAAGAGTATGGCGTCGACCCCGCCGGGGTGGGCGGCTCCCACGACACCGGCGTGAATCTTATGGACACCTTTTGCCAGGCGCTGCAGAGTCACAAGTCGGAAGAAGGCGAGCAACAGAAGGAGAAGTTCAAGGCATTTCTTGACCTTATTGAAAAGAAAGGGTACTTTGCCGGTGCGGAGCCCGGGACGGAGGAGTATGCGAACCGCTTGGAGAAGGCGAAAAAGAAGTTTGAGATGCGAAATAACCCGTACCAGGGAATGAGCGCCGAAGAGATTAAGAACAAGGGCAATGAATTAATGGGCCTGTCAAAGTACAAGGAAGCGATTGCATATTACACCAAAGCCATTGAGATGGAACCCGAAAATCACGTATTTTTTGCCAACCGCGCTGCTGCACACACCCACTTAAAAGACTATAACAGTGCGATTATTGATTGCGAACACGCTATTGCTCTCAGTCCAAATTACCCGAAAGCGTATTCTCGTTTGGGCACGGCACTCTTTTACCAGGAGAAGTATACGCGTGCTGTGGATGCATTTGCAAAAGCATGTGAGCTTGAACCCACAAATGAGCGGTACAAGGAAGACTTGAAACAGGCGGAGGAGAAAGTCAAACTTGTGGGATCTGCTCGCACAGGAGCTGCCACCGCGGGGGGCTTTCCCTTAGCGGGAGGGATGCCTGATTTTGCACAGATCTCACAAATGATGAATAATCCTCAGTTTGTTGAGGCAGCCACACGCATGATGCAAAATCCACAATTCAGTCAGTTGGTGGCAGGCATGGCATCACGCTTTGGCGATGCGGCATCGAATCCGGAAGAGCTTCTTCAAGCCCTTGGAAGTATGCCCGGGGGTGGGGTAAACAGTGACGGTACGATACAGACCCCGTTTGGAAGTATTGATCGTGAACGTCTTGAGAGACTTCAGGAGGAGGAGGTACGTCAGAATCCAAGATTCCGCGCCATCATGGATGATGTACGGCAAAATGGATTTGCTGCCTTCCAGAAATACATGGGGAATCCCGAGGTCATGGATTTAATTGTTCGATTCCAAAACGCCATCATGGATTCCAGCAACACGGGCTCGTCCTCGGAATAATAATAATAAAATGTGAAAAAAAATATGAGGATTTTTAGTTCCTTGTATTTTTTTTCTTTTTTTTCTATTGTTGTCTTTCAGTAATCTGAAAAGGTGGAGGTGGATATGAAGGCAAACAGGATTATTATGGCAATGCTGCCGTGCGAAAGCAGACGCTTGTGTGTGTGGGGTGGGGGGGGGGGGGTGCAGCAGCGACAAAAGGAGGAGCTTAAAGGTCGTGAATTAAACGGAGAAGTTATTCATTGGTAAATTTTTTATTTGCCTTTTTTTCTTCTTCTTCTTTCTGTTGTTGTCTGCAAAGTGCCGCCCATGAGGCCTATATTTTCCATTGGTGCGGTGTGAAGTTGAAGAACAGAAAATAAGGGAATGACCTGCAGTGATGCAGGCCGCTATTTTTTTTTGTTGTATCCGAACCAGCGACCGCTGAACACGACGCCGTTCTTGACTACATTGCGCAGAGATTGACAGGAAATGTTTTGCCATGGGCGCGGCGTCAGGAATCCGAACTCGTGTTGCAGCTGCCTGTATCTTGCGCACGGTTGGACTAAGTAAGCTTCAGCTGACAGGCGGCAGCGTCGATGGGGTGAGTGTGAGGTGGAACCAGCGATGCGGCTCTCGATCCAGCGGAAGGGTTTGTCTGCAGGGAGTGATGTGCGGGGTCTCCAGTGGCTTCGGAGAACGTTGCAGAACTTTTTAAATGAGATGAGCAAGCACCTTGCAGTCCCAGCCGACTCGCATAACTTCAAAGCTGGGGAAGGTTCTGATGTCGGCTATATGACGGTGGAGTCATTTGCGTTGTTGCATAAATCTTCATCTTTGTTTCCACATGAGTTCTCCTTTGGTGGAGTGCGGGCAGCTTTTCTAAGTTTTCTAACCCTGAAATGGGGTGAGGGTGCCCTTGTTTGTCAAGCAGCTACAGGCCTATCGCGTGCCCTGCAACAACATCGATGCCATGATGTGGGGGTTCATCTCTTCAGTTTTTTTTTCTCCTGCAGAAGGTACGATGAAAAGGGCTTTGGATTATTATTTTTCTTGCAGTGGTAGACATAATTGAAATGCCATTTCTCTTCTTGCTGTGTAGATGGGCGTTGGGTTTCTGTCAATAAGGTACAGTTGTGTGCAAACCTCTGCCTTGCGGCATGCAGCCTTTCTTCTGCGATGAAGGCGAACATTACTACACGACACGGCTTCAGAATGTCATTGCACGTTGGCTCTGTCACAGGGAAGGCACTAACAGGAGCAGTGACAAGAGTAATGGGGAAGTTTTTAGCAAACCAGAAACATTGGGCCAGCTGCACCCTTTTTGTCCACCGCACTCGGAGTCACTTTGTGCTGAAGTCTCCAAGCGTTCATGTGATACCTGAGGGACACATTTTGGCGCTTCCGCTTCTCAACACAAAAATGGAGAGAATGCAAGAGGGCTTCAACAATTCACAGTGTTCCCCCATTGCCAGGGAGGCACATACTATTTCATGTACTGTACCTCTGACGATTCCATACAGTACGGCGTTGCGTTGTACAGGGGGTGGTTTAGACAAAACCGAAGTGGAGATTTGCTTTGCCGTGCCTACTGAGGAGATGGTGAATGCCGGCGTGGTGGCTGCAAATGGATGTTAATCGATGTGGTTTCCAACAGCGTGGCGTGGTCCAACATAACCATCATCAACTGAGCGTGAAAGAAGAAGTGAGTATCACTGCAGTGGTTGTTTATCTGCTTGGTCATGAGGCACGTTTTAAAATGGAGTTAAAAGACTTTGAGAAACGCATGGCCGAAACCACGCACTATCATGAGAGACTTTTGATGAGAGGTTTGGGGGGCCCACGCAAACGATAATACACGTTGAACAGGTGTGGTGAATGATGTGGGTATTGCATCAGGAGGAAAGAAGAGGCGGGGGGTGGGGGATGATTTATTTTTCTATGTTCTTTTCTTGATGGGTGGGAGCACATTCTTGCATTTGTTGCTTTCTGTGTGTTTATTGCTTCTTCTTTATCTATTACTCTCTCTCTCTCTCCTTGTCCTTTTGTTCAAGTTTCTGCGTGTATCGACTTGTTTTCCGTATGGGGGATCTAGTGTGAGGCGTAAGTTGCAAGGGTGAGGAAAAAGGAATAAAGTTCCTCATACTGTCAATAACAATAATGGAGGAGATTCGCGTAAATGACACCGGGTTGCCAATCGCATACTATGTGCTTCTGGCTGAGTTTGACGTTGACACTGGACCCTGCTTACGTGCGAAGTATCCGTCTGCTCTGTCGCGGGCGAAGGAATCCGCAGATGGGGAGGGAAATATGTTGTGTGGGATGGTCAACAAACGCCGTGATGAAACAGTAAAACAGTCTCATTCTTTGGAATTAGATGAGGACTATTGCGCAAGCCACATGCTACCAGATGGTGGCGAAAAGCAAGTGATTAGCAGGACCATTTTTATTGCCAATCGAACCAGGCCTGTGAATACGCATCGCTTCCCCGTGTGCTGTTTCACATTGACGGCGCCAGCGCGGCCGAGGGACTCGGAAACAGGTTCCTTAAGCTTCAGTAAAGAGTGGGAATGGGTGCGGGACGCGGCAGCCGAAGACGTACTTCTTCATGAGGAGTTGAATTACAACCGAGCCGCCGGCAACGTGTGTGTGCTCTCCAAGGGTGCTGTGATGTGGGGGCCTGTAACGGTTCAGGCGCCCGATGCCTTTCAAGTGTGTCCTACGCTTCCCACGAGTGTTGTTGCCTTTGTTCAACAACTACGGAAGAGGTTTGGCTTGCGCAGCGCAGATGTGGCAAGGGGGAGAAAATCTCATAAAAATGATACAAAGACTTTTTTCGATATCCCTTTGATGTCATCTACAGCCATAACAGACTATTCATTCCTTGTACATCATTCTGACTCAGTGTATCGCGGCTTTTTGATGAAGTCGACACATTTAGAGGTATTGATGAGGTCGAAGAAGATGCCACAATCCTCGCCAGGAGCAGGAGTAATCATTGCAAATGCAGTAAAAGAGGAACCAGCAATTGAGCTCTTGAACGGCACGGAATCCTCTACTGTGCCGCCCCTCTACGGTCTTTGTGCGGTGGTAACGCGCAAAGACCTCTCTGTTAGGCGTGGAGGTATCAGTAAGAGTGTGGCTCTTTTAGGACCCAAACTGGTATGGCTTGAGTGTTTTTTTCCGCTTCTTGTTGAGACAGCATTGCAATGCTGCGACATAAAGGGAAAAACGGAGGAGGCATTTGAGCAGCAGACAGCTCTGGTGCGACGCTGCTTTGAGGCTGTCGACGCCGCGACGTGTTCTTTGAGACATGCCATTCGCGAAGTGCCAGGAACTTCTTTGGAGCATGAAGTTATGCGTCTTTTCAACATGAGTGGAAGACAGGCGCATGTCTTATGCGCACTATCGCCCTTTGGATCTTCGCACAAGTTGCGTATTCCCCTTTTTCCTCAGATGTACGATTTTGATTTCTCGAGTTATGGTTTAGAGCAAATGGTTGAGGTTTGCGGTGCATCCTTCTGGACGCTGGTTGTGGCTGTATTGCTAGAAAAACGAGTGGTGGTACTTTCCAGACAAGGACTACCGAATGATGTCTGTGAGGCTGCACTATCGCTTGGCCTCATTGGCAACCTGCTAGATCCCCATTTTCTGACAACCAAAGTGTTTCCTTACACTTCCGTCAACGGGTTTTCCCACTTTAGCCATGTCCCTGGCTACATTATTGGGACAGTGAACCCTATTTTTGAGACGCAGCATGCCTGGTGGGATGCCCTGTGTGATCTGGACAATAAGTGCGTTGTTCTGTCGTCTGAAGGTAACAGCAGCGTCACTAGCCTCCACTACGGTAGTGGTTCCGGGAATGCAAGTGGAAAAGCAGGCGATTGGGCAACACAAGATGCGCGGGTTTCTAAGTATATTCTTGATAGACTCGCTCGAATGAAAGCCATGCGGAAGTCATCATGTGAACGACATCAAGCTGTTCTTCTGATGATAGAGGAATACTTAGTCATGACGATTATGGTAAGTGAGGTGGACCACTCCATCCTCAGTCGTATTGTACAGACTGTCTTCTGTACACCGACGTTAGATCGACTTCGGGCACTTGCGCAAGGAAGCGCTATTTTTCATGGGGCTTTGGAACACTTTCTTCTTCCTGGCGAGGATCCTTTGTTAATTATTGCCGTGGCTACTGTGCGCCGAGCCAATAGGTGTGATAGGGTGGAGTTGATGCGAGCCCTGGCTCACCTTCTCAACCGCGTGCGTTCATATAATGATGTTATTTGCCTCCTACGACGTATGCCGCTGGCTTTGGAGGGTCTAAATCCAATTGCGTTGCAGTTGCTACACACCTCACCGCCGGTGTGCCAAGCTGCTCTGGAGCTGATGCGACGTGTGGAGCTCTTTCCACCTGGAAAAATTGCCATTGCGGCGATGAATGAGTTTTCGCGCATGAAGTACAAGGCGGCGTCGCAGGATGTATTGCATTAATCTTGCGAAATGGTGTATTGAAGTGGTATTTCAACGTCTGACGATGGTGTGTCTATGGGCGCTTCGATGAATCCCGAGCGGTTGCAAATAAATTTAGAGATTATTGAAATTTTCTTTTTGTGTCTTTCTGTTGTTTTTGAGATACGATCTCAATTCGCCCCAATCCCCTCTTGCTGACACCCTCTCCATTGTGTCTGTCCTTTTTTTTTTCTTTTACGCGGAGGTCTTCCTCCCACTCTTTGCCATTGCAATTTCCTTCTATTTTTCTCAGTTACACAGGTGTATATATATATATATATATATTGGTATTGGCATTGACTGGACTCCAATGGATCATTGGGTGGGGCGAATCGAAACGGTCTCGCACAGTGTGAGCGCCGTGGATGCCGCTGTTGGGGGCGTTATACAGGAGCTTCTGGTCGTCGCGGAACAGTATATGGCCGAGGTGTCTCAGGTAGAGGCGGTGGGTAGAACCATCCGTCAGGGCATTGCAAACTCCTCTGCCGCCGTCGTGAGCTGTCTCATGGACCTTGCCACAATGAGCACGGCGATGAAGGACGCCATGGATGCCAACCCAAGAGAGGCGCATGGCTTGGTGATGAATCTCTTTGGTGTTTTTGTAAAACAGCTCACGACCTACTACAAGGAAACCTACGAAATTCTTAGGATAGCAGGAGTGACGCTGCACCAGCAGCAAATTCTCTGTTGGAGTAAACGAGGCGAAATGGATAACGTTACTAGTACAAATAGCAATTTAAATATTGTGCCAGATGCGCAACCTTCGCTTGCCGGTGTGTCCCTTGTGGCATCCAATGCCCTTAAAGAGACGAAGAAGAAACATGCCGATGGAATGGAAAACAAAGCACGTGATTCCAGCAAAGACAATTCTGTGCTTCTCCACAGTGAACCAAAGCAGAAGCAACAAGAAGAAGAGAAGCTGGGGAATAAGAAGGGTGACAGAGACACCGCAATTGAGCATGCATTTTCACCAACGTTTGCCACAGAAACTGAGGAGAAACGGAACTATAATCAGGGAGATAGTCACAAGGAAATACCATCTTTAACGAGGGATGCAGTATTGGCTGTAAGGGAGCCAACGTACCTCCACGTGGCCTCAACTGTAGAAGACGCCCTTGGCCGTTTGGTGTTATCTAGCAGGCCAAGTGTTTTTACAGCTCCCGAATTGATTGAGCGTCGGCCACCCATAGCGACGTATTACATTAAACTTCCAGATCCTGGCTCGTTGGGGTCGCTGTTACTCTCCAATTATATTGCGTTAGGGGATGATATGCAGGCAGAGTTGATGTGTGACATTCTTCAAACCGATTGTGTGGAAGTGGAACCATTTGAGTCGCCTGCCAGCGAAATTGTTATAGAGGATCCGTTGGACCTTCACGAATTGTCTGCTTGTGGCTGGCGTGTAGGGTCTAGCGAGGACCATCAGCAAGTGCTATACACCTTGTATGTATTGATAAGTCGCGGAGAAAAAATGTCACGCTCCCTACTGATTCAGGAATCTCTCGTGATTAATGCGGAACGGGAAGAGGTAATGCATGAGATCACCCCACTTCCAGATGCACCACACATTGCCAAGGTGACAGTGCGCGGCTTTGACCCCTCAGCTTGGAGCGCCTCACCCAGTAAAAGGTACACGAGTGAACGCGTATTGGCCATCGTAAATATTACCAAAAACACCTACGAGAGGAATGGTTTTGTGGAGATCAAGAAAGAAGAGGTAGATGCGGCGGTGCAGCAACTCCACACTCATGAGCGGCAGTTACCGCGAGAAGACGAGCTACTGACCAAACCCAATACCGCCGTGGCGACGACGGCAGCAGCGTTTAAAGGTACAGTTGAGTTGGCGTCACTTGAACAGCCTGGAGAGGGGGAGGGATGGGGACTGAGCGACGTTGCAAAAGGGGCCGTGCGGGGAGCTGCCGCAGTTATGTTGGCCCCTGTCTCTGTGGGCAAAGTTGTTGGGAACGCCGTGCTTGATGCTTCGGGTGTAACCGGTGCCATTAAACAACAAGTGGAAGGTCTTTTTCGCAAGTCCTTTCCAAATCTGGCCTCAGAAGAGATTATTGAAACGTTCATATGTGCTCTTGTAGACGAAGGCAACCCATTACCAAAGCAAGGCTTCGTCTTCATTACACCACGCTGGCTTTGTTTTCGGGCTGATTTCTGGAGTGCCAACTTTAGCTTGGAATGGGATGAGATCAGGGATATTAAAAAGCAGAGAACGGCAAAGTTGCTAGAAAACGCAATTGATATACACACTCATTTGGGTGGGACGTACTTTTTAACATCCTTTGTCCAACGAGACCAGGCTTATAGTGCCATGATGAAACAATGGCTGAGAAAGTAGCCCACGTTTAGTGCGGCACTGTACTGCCTTTCTGCTGGAATAATATGTGTTATTTGTTTCTTTTTGTTCCATCTGCGTCTTTTTGTCTCGACGGCGACGCGTGGTGTTCTTCTACTCCTTTTCCTTTGACTGTTTGAACGACTGGAGGAGATTGCGGTGCGATACCCGTGAAGGTGCCACTGTCTTTTCTCACACCTGCGTATGCCCCATTTTTTCTTTTTTTTTTATTAGTTGCTGATTGCTCACTTTCCTTTTGGCGTTGCTGTTTTTTTTTTCTTTGCGTGGTTGCTGCTTGGAGTTTTTTTAATTATTTTTTTCTCCGCTTCTCTGGATTGTCTATTTGGCTCACCGTGATTTTCTCTCTCTCTTCTCTCTCTCATTCGTTTTTTTTCTTTGTTTCACCTCCCCCTTAGGCAGTATATTTATATACACGCCCACGTGTTCGTTTTTTTTTCCAATTATTGTACATCCGTAGTCGTCAGTTCGACGCGGCTTCCACGGACTGTGGGGGACATTTTTGGTGTTCTTTGTGTCCCCGCCTCCTCTCTTCAGCCCACACCTCTTCAGTTTGGCTGACCGTACGTGCGTGGGGGCGTGTGGAGCGGTTCGTAAGGGGGGACATTGAAGTGGAGGAAGAGGGCGGGGGATAAAAAAAAAAAGGTGGGTGGGGTGGGGGAGGGGGGCGTGGGTGAGTACTTGGAGATTGCTTTGAACTCGTCTGTGCTACTACTGTAAATATCGATTGCCCACGATCTCTCACTGCCGCTTTTGGCTGACTTTGACCGGTGCCTCACCACTTGCACCGGGATCGAGGAGCACAGGAACGGAGAGAGGGAGGGAGGCAGGGCGCTCCACGCGCACTTTTATCGCCCCAGACAATGTCGGATCATGTCGTTTATGGGAAGCCGTTGATGGTGACTGAGGAAAAGCTGCGTGAGGCTCGTGTGAAGCAAATGAAGCAAAAGGCCTTAAGAGATGCCCTAGACGGACAAGTAGCACAAGGTAAACGACATATGCTCAATAATGACGTTTTTGACACGAGGAATAATGCGGTGAAAAGAGATGCAGTGCAGAAACAATATATGTTTAGTTGTGAAGACGGTTGTGGTAAATTTATCCAGGTGAGTGATAGCTGCGAGCTGCGTGAGCATCCAGCCCAAACAGTACTCAGTACATCTACGGCTGGCAATGCACATAATAATAACGCTGCAATGTGGAACGTAGTGCCTGGTCATAGCAAACCATTGGATTTTATTTCCGACAATCAGCCATTGTATCAGTCAAATTCCTTGCCGCCAAACTTCTCAATGAACACTTCAGAAGCAAACCCCTTAGCACCAAAACGAACCGAATATAATAGTAACTCTCTTCCTCTGGACTTTGTGTGCAGTAGTAAAAAACAAAACGGTGGTTTTAACAAAGTATCACCGAGAGCACGTGAGTCACTTCCGAGAGGGGTGTCCCCTAAACATAGTCCGAGATCTGTGAAGATGGTAAAGGAACAGAACTATACAACGAATTATCTTCCATGCAACTTTAGTTCAGAGGACGTGAAGAAGCTGTTACATGAGTTAAAGACCTCGACGCATACATCGCCGCCGCCGCCGCAGTCACCCGTTGCGAGTCCAGGAATTAGAAGACGACATGCTAATGTGGCTCCTCCTTTGCACTCTCGACCAAATCCACATCAGAAGCAGCATGTTGGCTACCTTCCCCCGTTAGATGTTGCAGACGGATTGGTCGGCAGGCGAACATCTGGTGAACCTCCGCCACCACTTGAATTGTTCGGTTCACCTCCACGTGAAGTTTTAGGCGCTCAAGCCCAGAACGGGAAGAGTTTAGGACACCCGAGGTTGAAGCAGTTATCAGCACCGCGAGGACCTTCGAATGATGCGCGTGGACGACCCTCAGCGGGTATAGTGGAACCTCGCAATGGTCACAAACGAGCAATCGAGAATACGGTGGAACAGCTACAAAAAAAGCTGGAGTCCCGCGACTTTCAAATGGCAATAATGCGAGAGAAGGAAAAGAATTGGGAGGAACAGGTAAAACAACTAAAAATGGAATTAAAGAGTGCCAAGAAAAAGCAACGAGATTTGAATAAACTTGTGAAGGAAGGGCCAATAAGGGCAGAGACGGCGCCCGATCAGCCTTTCATTCGCACGCCTAAGCAGGGTTTTCATGGAGCACCTTTAAGGAAGGGCCTTGGAGCTCCATCAGCCCCTGGGCTGGGGGGAAAAGAAAAATTCGTCAAGGGTTGTATTTTCACCAAAGAAATGTTTTGTCCTATAAGTGTACCGTCAGATAATGTTTCAACATCATTTGTTCCTCAGCAACAAAATCGTGTGCCATTTATGCAGGACTCCTTTAAATGTGCCTCTGCCTTGACGCGAAAAACGGCCTTTGGATTAGCCGAAGAAAACGCCAACCGTCCTGTACCCATAGAATATGAGCACCTTCTGCAATTTGTGAAGGAGCATATAATCACGCAGCAACAGGCGGATGAGTTGTGGCGGCTATTTAGTAATGAGAATTCACCACTTACACTCATTCGCCAACAGGCTTCAAATGTCAATCTTCCGGGTGAGGTGGAGACCACCAGTATGGACAGCAATTTTGTTTTGGAGAATGAAATGGAAGAATTCAGCTATGATGATGATGACACGGAACAGAAGAAAATTGAGGTGGAGGAAGAAGACGGCACAGAAGCACATGATGATGTAGGAGAGGAAGTAGTTTACAGCAATGGCTATGATAATGAGGAAATTGAAACCGAATATGATACCTTCGAGACGTTTGCAGAACTTCACCAGGAAGAGTATCTATCTGAGGAGGAGATGGATGATGAATAAAAATGGAGGCGAACCAACTTCTGTGTGCTGCGTCTGAAGGTAGGGTCGATTCGGTGGATCCTCGTGAGTGTATGTCTATGTGTCTGTGTGTGTATATATTGACTCAGCGCTAGTTCTGGAGGGTCATTTGAGCTGAGATGTAGATATAAGTGATGGGGGTGCAGCTTCTTTTCAAACTGGCTTTCTTGTCTTTTTTTTTTTGTGTGTAGTTATTGTTTCTTTTTTCATCTTCCATCTTTACTTTTAGATCTCTTCGCTTACCCCAGCATTTACTTTTGCTCTTACTGTGCGAATTTGTTATTTTTGGTTTGTTTATGCGCGTTGCTGCCTATATGGCTCTGCAGATGTATCTATTACGTTGTTTTTAGTTAGGTGTGTTTGTCTGTGTGCGTTTGTATGTGGGTATGGGTGTGTAGTATGACGGATTAATGAATATATATTTTTTTGGCGGTGGAGTGTTTGTGTGCATGCAACTGACGATGAATGATGGTCATTAGTGTTGATATTTTGTTGTTGTTGTTGCTGCTGCTGTATTATTGCTATTACTATTAATTATGGTTCTTTGCTTGTATTACTGCTTTATTTTTGGCACGTAGTAGGGCGGCGAATGATTGCTGACAACAGGGAACGGAGCATTGACTTTAGCCCAAACCCATCCGGCGAACTGGATGAGGAGGTGCTCACGCGGCTTCGCGATGCATTGAACAGCAATGACCACTACAGTAAACTTATCTTTAACAACAATCGTCTAAGCGACGAGGCGGTTGGCATTCTGGCCGCCATTCTGAAGGGATCTACCCTGATTGAGTACCTGTCTCTTTCCTCATGCCAGGTTCGCGACGTGGATGTCATGCGCATCGCCAATGCGCTATGCGTGAAGAAAGCTTTGAGGCACCTGGATTTGTCCAATAACCCCAACATCTCCAGCGCGGCAGCACCAGATATTGCGAGAGTCATTAGAACACTGCCGTTATTACGGGAGGTGTTATTAATTGGAACAGGTCTCCAGCCAGCAGGCTGCTCAAAGATTGTCGCTGCGGCAGAGCAAAACTCATCCTTAAAAGTGCTGGTGCTACCGTACACAGTAGGCTTCAGGATTCTCGACAGAGTTCGAAACGTCATTGAAAAGAGAGTCGATGCTAAAGTAGAGGATTTGGTGAAAGTGGAGAAGGCTGTGAAGCGGGCCGAGCCATCGCTGACAGACTCACCTGGAACATGTGATCTGGGCCCGACGGTAAGCCCGTGGAAGGAAAATATCTTGCCAAGGCTTCTTCTGCCTCCGCTTACCCCCTCTCAGAGAGGGGGACCGATGCCCACAGCTGAGCTATATTGTCCCACCAACTCCTTACGGATGATGGAGTTTCGTTGTTGGGCTGATCCGGCCGTTAAGAATGCCGCCGTCTACCTTCATGAGCTTGACAAACGTTGCCATCTTTTAGAAGCTCATCGGCAGGAAAAACGAGAACGAATTTGTGCGAAACGTGATGTGGAAGGAAAAAATCGTGCTGCAAACAGGCAACTACGGTATAGTAGCTGTGACAATTTTTCTGTTCTATAGTAGATGAAGTAACAAAAAAAAAAGGAGGATAATATAATATGTATGCCTTGTGGCCGTTTTTATCGTAGCACATGACATTGTTGTCCTAATACAACAATGATAACGCTCCGGGGTATGCTATTATTCTATTGATCTATGCGTTTGCCGTTTTCCTGGTTGCTGCTGGTGGTGTTTATGAGGTGGTGGGGCATGTATGTGTTATTATTATTAAAGCGCTGTTCCCTTGGTCCGATGTTTTGTTGAGTGACATTGCTTTCTTGTTAGGTGTAAACGTTTGAGTTTCTGTTTCACCATATTGGTATGTTCATTTGTTGCTGTGTGCTGCGCATACTTAGTTGAGCAGCGTTCCACTTTGGGTCCTGTTGGTGCACGCTTGTAGGTTTCATATTCTCTTTGTTTATCTGTATGCCCGAGTGTCTGGGCTTGGCCGTGACTGTCGTTCATGTCGGTGGTGTAACCACTTTTGTGTCACATGATGCGTAGTCTTCTATCTTCACTTTTTTTTTGTCGTTTCTTGTGTGTGTGTGTGCGTGTGTTTGGGGGGGGGGCATCTGCTGGGGGGTCGAAGCAGAGGATTGAAACTGTTTGTAGATGCGTCACTTTAGAGTGTTGCACAACTTTGATGCGCAGGATGCAGTGGAGCTCACCGTGAAGAAGGGTGAAATTGTTCTCGCGGTGGATGGTGAAGTGCAGGAGGGGTGGATCAAGGTTGAGGTGCCTGGTGACTTGAGACGGCGCGGATTCGTACCATTTAATCATCTACGCGAGACCAGGCAGTCGGTGGCGAGGAAGCAGGAAGAAGAGGGCAGAAACATCGGAAAAGAAGGAAGTGACATGACAGCAGCCCCCACATCACATCAGCTCCCTACGATTCCAAAGGAGACAACACCGACGTTCACTTCTGCTGCGTTTGATTACGGTGACAGGCTGCAGAACATGTACGGTGGTGGCGCCTCGGATCCATGCCCGATGCGTCAACAAAGCGGTTCCGTAGAAACGGCCCCAAGGCGCGGCAATGAACCCGCAGTGACAACAGCGGTAGTGACAGGGCCTGTGGCACCATGCCCACAGGCGCAGCCCTTGACGTCCTCTGCTGTGGTTCCAGTGCCTGAGCCATCACTACTTAGCAATCCCAATGCGATAATTGAGGCTTTCATGAAAAATGAACTTCATTTCAAGCAACTTGTTCGGCAGCGTCAAGATGCTTTGGCTCAGATGCGAACGACAGTCGAGGAAGCAGTCGCCGAATTGGAGGCATGTAGAGAGAAGAATGCCACACTGGCACGCAAACTTCGTGACTTGGATCAATCTGTAGAGAAGGAGCGAGGACGTTGGAAGGAGAGAATCATGGAAGAAAAAGCGTACATTAATCGATCCTTGTCTTCCGACTAGCTTGGCACACTGCTGATAGAGATTTGTTTTGAAGATATCATGAACTGAGTTGAGGGGAGCACATAAAGTAGAGTGGTTTGGGGCAAATAGAGACGGGTAGTGAGAGGGTGTCCTTTTTTCTGTGGTTACACTGTGGTACTTTTGTTGCAGCGCGTCTTCTTTTTCTTTTTTTTTTGTATTTTGGCATCCCTTAAATGTTGTTTTTTTGACCTTTTGACATATGTGCACACTTTGTTCTTTTTTTTCTCTTCTTTCAAATACATGTACGGTTCCTCACCACTTTCGATGATGGCTTCTATGTGCTTTGGAATACTGGGGAAACTCGTAAGAGGGAATGAAAAGGGACATCTTTAGTTTTACTGTGGCACCCGCCGTAACACTGTACGCTAGCCTTCTTTTAAATATAGTCAGCAGTGTCGGTGTGATTATAGTAAATAAACGACTGGTGTACATAGAGGCCGGATTTCGTTTCGGTACCCTCCTCACAGTGATTCATTTTATAGTATCGTTTCTGGGATGCCTGTTTTTTGCTTGGCTACGCTGTTTTAAGCTGAGCTCAATCCCACTACTCAAGGTCCTGCCTATCAGTCTGGCATTTTGCGGGTACGTGGTGTTTAACAATCTCTCGCTCCTCACAAACACGGTGAGCGTGTATCAAACCTCAAAGATTCTTTGTACGCCTTTGATACTCTGGATTGAGTTTGCGTTTTATCACCGGCGTGAAAGCAGACGGACGCTGCTCTCTCTCATTCCCATATGCGTAGGGGTGGCAGTCACGGTGTACACAGACACGGAACTGAATCTAATGGGGGTCCTCTGGGCCGTGCTGGCAATTTTGACTAACTCTTTATATACAATATGGGGAAAGACAAAGCAGATGGATCTGGGAGTGACTCCCATGCAATTGTTGGTCTACCAGGCTCCGCTTAGTGCCGTGATACTTTTTTTTGCTCTTCCCATTGACGGCATTGGGGAACTCTGGTCGTATGAAGTGACCTTCACCACAGTTTGGGCAATTGCTCTTTCATGTCTCTTTGCGTTTGGTGTGAACTTTTCCTTTTTCTTGTTTGTGGGTCAGACCTCTCCTCTGACTATGAACGTTGTGGGTTATTTTAAGACGGTTTTGGTCTTTGTGGGTGGCTCTATATTTTTGCCTTCAGAGACAAGTGCAAAAACGGTTGCTGGGGTTGTTTTAACCCTTGTAGGACTGGCATTTTATACCTACTCCAAGTTGCAGGCGATATCACTCCCATCACTGTCGAAGGATGCGGTTTGAGTCGTGACGACCTGCCAGTGAGGGGGTAGAACAGAAACAATAAGCAAAGATGATGGAGTCATGTGTATATTTTTATGGGTAGATGTACTATGGGATTATTGCTTCTAGCAGCCCTCGCAGGATTATTATTTTTTTCTTAGATGGCTTTGCTTAATTGGTTGGGGACCGCTTTTTTTTTTAACCTTTGCTTATCTGTCTCTCTCTTTGTATGCATTTATTACCCGATAGTGTGTATATATTTTGTTGTTGTTGCTTGATTCTTTGTAGATCATTATCTTTGTTGTTGTGATTTGTGGTTGCTGTTTTTGTTGTTTTATTATGACCTTTTTTGTTTTGGTTTCCCCCTTTTCTTTGGGGGTAAGGTGGGGGGGGTGGCTGCTGCTGCCCGCTCATCTCTTAGTTGTGTTCTTATTGCTGTTGGTTTTTAGTCTGCTGGGCAGACAATCCCACACACACACGCACAAGTTTAGCTACATGCTACCGTGCACTCCTGTATTTGTGTCGCTGGACAACTTACGCACATGATTGGACGGCTGGAGGAGAACTTCCCATAACGGGAGGAGTTTTACCGCCCCCACAATACACACTGTACTGCTGTTGTGTGGCGGGGGAGCAGACGCGGCTGTAGTGAGTCACGGGGGTTATGTTGACGCGCTTCATCACTTAGTATCTCTTCATCTGCAACGGAAACTTGATGGCTTGTGTGGATCTGTTTTTGGAGTTAGGAAACAGGCTGAAAGTGTGCTGAAGTTATTTCTTCTCCTTTGGGTTTCCTTTAAGGCGCTGTGTTTGGAAGCTGCCAACGTCAGTCATGAACTCCACAGGCAATGGGGGAGTGGGCTTCCGTAAGAAGGAAAAGCTGTAGAGAGACATTTAGCGCGTGATATATTTTTGGGCATGGCTGGTGACGTATATCGGCGGCACATACATTTCTTGGTTTGTGGTGAAGATTCTTCTTTATTATTGCCGTTGGTGGAAGGAAAAGGATAATATGGGACACTGTTGAGAGTTTTCACTGGCATGCGTTTATTTTCTGGGATGCGGTGACTCTCTATGAAACGGACGCCGATGGAAGTCCTCACTGGACCCTTTCGTGTGTGTGAGGTGGGCGGGGTGTAGAAATGCTCGTTTTGCTGGGTGCAGGTACCATTTTGAAACACACAAAGATTTGTTTACAGACACATATCTCCGTACTCTTGTTGCGGCAGACGGGAATTGTCTGCCCCAGGGATTTTTTTGGAGCTAACAAGCTGCATTCAGAATAATTTGATTCGCGGTGGTCGTTTGTACCACAGTGATCTCTGTGTTTTGTTGGAGGCGTTGCGCCCCCACATGTCGGCTGACGCAGATGAGACGAGCATCTGCGGTGTGCGTCGAGCGTCATTGATGTTCTTTTAAACACGGCGTGTTCTTCTGGTGGAACTGAGGTTATGCGAGACGTAGAGGCGGTCTGTGCATGGTTTGGCTTGCTTGGCCTTAAGGAAGACTGCCGTTATGTGCTCATGGATGGCGCCATTGATGGTGAAGCGCTGCGCTGCGGTCTGTTGCTGCATGAGCTGCAATAAATAGGCATCCACAACGAGGTGGACGCCGTTGCACCTCATTCAGGTTTTTAATGCACCCCCGAATCGTAGAGCAATGCCTGGTGATGCACGCATATGAATTTGTCCCTGTACATTCACACATCGCTCTCTTTATTCTGTTTGCTCTCTTCGTCGTGTATTGGTTTGATGGAAATCAATGCCTCTCACCGCAAAATGTCCTGCTTTACTCGACGTTGCGTGCATGTCTTTTTGTTTCTTTGTTTGTCTTGTTACTGGTGTTTGTAGACTGCCACGGAGCATTTGCGCCATCGGCAAAAAGGAAAGTCACACGTAACACGAAGGACCCAATGGTGTAGACCGGCGCACTCCCCAATCCGAAGGATTAGCAGTATTTTTATTGATAACAACGAAGCGGAGAAAAAGGTAAAAACGTAAACAACAAGGAGCGTGGAAGTTACCATAAAAAAAAAAGAGGTAAAAGGGCTGAAAACGGCGAAGACTACAAGGGTAACCCAACAGGAAAACAGACGGCACTGCACGCATCCTGGAAGCGCTGACGGGAAGTAGCAGCCGGTAGGAGAAGGTAAACGGAAAAGGGAGTTGCTGAACCTACAATAACCCCAAACAGGAACCCCAGTTGGGATAGAGCCATGGCAAATGGTTCTCGGAACCACACATGTGGAAACAAGGAAGCCAATCAGGCGGGCGATGATAACGTCGATTGTAGCTTCTTTGACGGGAGCGACTCCGATGATGAATTGTTTTTCGCTGCCTGCGTTGAAGAGCGGCTGCTGATGCCATTCTCGTGCTTCACCGAGAAGGATTTGCTGAGCGTCCTCGATGCTCCCACATCGCACGTCGGCCCTGTGTGCATGAGTCCCGAAGACGCACCTCCAAAGGAGATGCGACTGGAAGGTCCTGGGGTTCTGCGGGGCGTTCGTATTCCCACACCAAAGCAGAAAAAGGAGACACGCATATGCCGGGGGAACCAAAACAGTAAGGTGAAAAATGTTCCACCCGAAGCCAAAAGGAAGGAGAAAACAACCAAGTTGTCTACATATCAACCTCGACGTGTTCGTATCAACAGAGCCATGAAGTCTCTAACACAGGATGACCTCCAAGACGATGACGACTACCGTCGCTAGTTGTTCGTAGGGTTTGACTTGGTGGAGGGGGGAGTGTGCTGGTAATGAAGATGAGGCAAGCTCCGCAACCCCTCCGTGTTCTGGTTGAAGGACGTGTGATGTAATGATTGCATGTGTTTTTACCAATTTGGACTGAATGCGTCCAATTTAGTTGAGAAAGAAAAACAATTCCTTGACCCTCTTGTGTTTTTTTTTTCTGTTTCAGGTGATGAATTTTTTCATCGCTAAGTGAGCGGGAGTAATAAGAAGCGGGATAAAACTAATAGCACCTACAAAAACAGGGCGTCATGGTAGCCGATCACCCACCATTGGTTTAGTTCTAGCTTTGTGTTTTTGTTTGTTTTTCGTTAACTTTTGTTCATTGACCAAAGGTGTTTCTTCTTTCCCTCATGCTCTTGTCTGTCTTATTTCTTCTGCCTTCTTCTGCTTGATCTGGATAGTCTCCTTCAGGGAACAGATCATTTTTTGGGGGTATCATCATCCGCAACAACAACAATAAGAACGCTTTTAGAACAGTAGGATTGATTGAATAAAATAATAATAATAATAATAGAAAAGGAGATTGTCTCTTATTACTCAAATGACGCATTTAGGCAGTTATGCACTCGGTCTTTTTGTGGCTGTTTCAGCGTTTCTGTTCTCTATAGCCCATGCAAGCGACGCGCTCGTGGCACCAATGTGTAGTGAGGTTATCGGCTTTGCTGGGGAATACAACGATCACATTCGCATTGAGGTGCCAGTGTCTCCAGTGGAGAAGGAAGCCGTCGTTCTTAGTCTGAAGGCCTTTCCGTTGAACTTGGGTGAACTGTCGCAGCGGTGGATACAGATGAATGCCACCTATCGCCTGCGTGAGGGTGTCATGGTCTCTTTGCAGTCTAACAACGATGGTATTGTGGTGATTTCAAATGTGGAGGCTGGCACAAACATTGAGATCAAAGTTAACCGTGTGCTGAAGGACGGTCCAGTCCCGTTCCGTTTTTGGAGCTTTCACGCCAATCGCCCATCGTGCCAGATTGATGTGTCCCCTGTCAATTCTTTTTCGGCGCCTATTCCGCTACGTATTTCGGAGCTGGCGGATCCTGTAAAGGTGTACTTCAAGTCTGTCGCGCCACCGGAAGCCAAAGGGTTTATAGTGTGGGCCAACTACGGATTTTTTTTATCTCATTCGGTGAAGTATCAGGTGATATCTTCGCCAACAGCTACTTATGATGTCACACACAATAGTGGCGAGGTGGTCCCATGGAGCGAGGGCGTCGCCTATTTGGTGTTTACTTCACCAATCTCCACAGACACCTCGCAAATGCTTCAGGTGAAGATTGTGTGGGTCGATGACATCACTGCAGCTGGTGGCAAAACTGGGAGTGAGGCTCCCACACCGCCACTGGAGAAAAAGACAGATAAGGATTTGACACCTCTGCCGGAATCGCCGTCAAAGGGTCCAGGCGATGAAAAATCTCCGAGTCATTCTGACGCCGGAAACAAGAAGAGGTGGACCGTTAGATTTTTGATTTTCGTACTCCTTATCTCCCTCACTGTATACATGCTTGTCATGTCAGCCGTCAACTACCGACTGACGGGTGCTACAGAATTCCCAGATATGATTCCTTTTGTGGGGGTTTTCCGGTCTTGTGGACAGTACGTGGCGCTAGCAAAAGCTTCAGTTTTACAAGGAAGAGGGAACCAGCGTGGTGAGTATTCTGATTTGAGATACGAGGGGTTGGGCACGGACCGCGTCTAAACTGGGGCAAAGGAAAAAGTCCTTTCACCTTTTCACTTGTTTTGTTTGCTCCCCTTTGTGGAGGAGAGCGAAAGGGGTGAGTGTGGGGAAATGAACTACAACTCACCAGCTTGGGATGCTCACCACTGTTGCAGAGCTCCCAAGCTAATGCAAAAGGAAGTGAATAACATGTAAGAAGACACGAAGAAATAAGAACGAAAAACATAATTTTCCATACCATCATGTGAAGGGTGTTAAAGGAGTGCGGTAGGTGCTCTTTAACGTCGCTTATTTAGATTGCCCATTTGTGTTTCAGAATATGATATTCTGCCTGTGAGGTATCAGTGCATCAGTGCGTACGTATGGGGAAGACGGGGTTGTGTGGTTTGCTTTACTTGGAAACTTTTGGAAGACATGTGTGATCGGATGAGGCCAAGTAAAAATGATACCAAGTCGCTTGCTTTTTCCACGTTTTTTTACTGATTACGAACTTTTCTGTTTCTAACGACGCTGCGTTCGGGAGGCGGTGTGAGTGCAGCTATTTCTGTGTCCTCCCAGTCCAACCGCCACCACCACGACGACCACGGCCACTGATGCCTTCCACACAGAGGGGAATCCAGTGGTTGCGGGGGCATCAAAGACTGTCACTTCATGTGTTTTCAGCGAGAGCCCGGCTATCACAGCACACGTTCTTTTTTTTTTATGTAGTAATTGTTTGCTGTTTGCGTGTTAGGGAATCAATTACGTTTGAACTGTAATGTTGGGCGCAATGGGCCATACTTTTTTTTTCTTTTTGTTTTTTTTCTCTGTACGTGAATTAGGGAGAGGGTCTCATACAACTGCATAATTGTCCCTTCTTACAGCTTCATTTGGGTTTTGCAGCTTCATTTTGATATGTGCTTTTTTTTCCCCTTTAATCCTTCTTTTGCTTGTCTTTCGCCCTTTATTGCCGCCGCGTGCTGTGGTGAGATCTGACACCTGCCTTTTGTGTGAAAAGAAACGTGGGCCTCAAGGTAGTGGTAGGAGTAAGAGGGTAGAAACATAGCCAATACAAAGACAACAAAAAAGTCTGTTTCCTCGAGGGAACTCACGGGTGAGCGGATGAGCACACGTCTTGCTGCACTGTGTAATGGAATCGCATGCTTTCCAACCACGCTAGCACAGCAGCGTCGATGGATAACACGGCTGTATACCTCTTATTACCCCGGTGTGTTGTATCCCAACCAGCTTGTGCAGGGGAAACAGAGTCTACCACCAGGTGTCACTCTCAGCACAGCACTTAAAAAGATGCCTCAAACAAGACATGAAGAATCCACTAAAGAAAATGACCCTCACAATGGAAATGAAACACGCGGTGTTTCATGGACAGATGCCAGTAGTACCGATTTGATGCATGCACACAATGCAGGGCGACAGGAGAGTCTGTCTGCTGCAACGCAGCGGCCGTATGTACCGCTTGGTGAGGTGGCCAAGTTGGAGTTGCAGGGAGATTATTACATGGAGGGCGGTCTCTTCCAGGAGGCATTGGAGCATTACGGTGTTGTCGCCAAGGCGTACTCGATTGCCTACCCCGAGAATCATTCAAAGCGTATTGGCATTCTCTTGAAGCTCGCTGGTGCCTTCCGTCATGTTGGTCGGCTTGATAGCAGTAAGGCGAACATTGAAAATGCGTTGCGAATGCTGGATGCATCGACTCGGTCGTCGCTTGAGCTTATATGTGAAGCCTTATTGGAACTAGGGTTGACACGAGAGGCGTTGGGCATAAAACAGGAGGGCGCAGAGGCCTACGAAGAGGCTGTGGAGGTGATGAACCTCTTTCACAACTGGGGAGAATCCCATCGGATGTTGCGTTTGTTGCCGCGCTTGGGGCGTCGCTTTAGCCTCAACTTTGAGGAAAAATTTGTGTACTTCAGTCCGTTTGACTACGACCGCACCTTCGCCATCGCGGACCAGTGTATGGAGCGTGCGGAGCGCGTCTACCGCGAGGCTGGGAACAACGAAGGCGTCATCCGGGTGCTTCAGCGGAGAAAAGAAATGATTGACAAGAAGTTTTTTAACCTTCGTGACTTCGCTGGACGCATACACACAATGCGAGGGCACTGGATGCGGCGCGCGCAGCATCTAACAAATGCCCCGACACCGGATGAACTCCTGCGGTACACGCCAACCATCCATCAGGTCCATCGCGACTTCAAGTACGAACTCACGGCTCCAATTGGTCGTGAAAAGGATGTAATGCCTGGCGTCAACCGAGTCGTACTAGACATGGGCAATCCATACCGCCGACGCGGGCGACTGTCCAACAAAATGTTGCGTGACGCCGATCACAATTTTGCCAAGTATGTCCGCCAGAAGGAGTACAACATATGAGAAAGGGAATTACCTGCAGAGAGAGGTAACCGTTGAGGAAAGCGGGATGAAATGTGAGCCACAAAAAGCAAAATAAAAGAAGAGGTTTTGTGTGTGAATGAATTCATTTTCAGCAACTGCAGTGAAAGATAAAGTTTAGTTCACAGCTGGCGTCCTTTTTTTTTTTTGTGTGTGTGTGCATGTGGCTTCATCTATGGATTCCTCATGCCCTTCTCCCTTGTGTTGACGTAGATTGTGTTATGCCGCACCTTTTTTTGTTTTTGTTGTGTGTCGTCTTTCTTTGATCTGTTATCTCTCGTCGTGCTGACAGCGGGTTAGAGCACCGGTGCCGGCACAGTAGCGGGTTTTCATGTCGAATGCAACCCCACCGCACTACGTGCGTTTGAGGCGACACAATGTGACTATTTTTCTTCACTGTGACGTGAACCACGACACCGTTCAGGCGATTAAGGAGCGTTACGAGAAATTGACCGGCCGGACTTTCTACACCGTTAGACTCTACCTTGGCCGGCAAAACCTGGACGATTTCTCTACGCTTTTCAACTGTGGTATTGAACGCGAAGGTGCTGAGCTCACGGTGGTGTATTCGAAGGGAGCAAAGATGGACGGCACTGGTGAATATATTTGGGAGGACTTGGAAGAAGCTGCACGACTCCCGCCGCCCCCACAAGAAGAGGTAAAGGAGACACAAGAGGGAGAGGCCGTTTCCGAGTCTCGAGGAGGTGGCGATCTGGTGGAGGAGGGTGGCAATGAGGTGCTTCCGACGCGTCCTGAGGATAAGAAACAAGAGTCCGCCGAACCCAACGTTGGCTTTGTTGGAGTATAACTATTCCTCCGTTGCGTCCGTAATGCCAATGCCTCTGTGTGGCACTGAGGCACAAGATCAAATTGCATTGAGGGATAAGAGAAGGAAACAAACCAAAACAGCAACAACAACAACAAGAGTTGGAAAATAAACTTTTGGGTGTAACGATGTACACTAACTTCATGTTAGAAGACTCTCTGAGGTGTGTCTGTGGGGTTATTTTTGGATGCATCCACACACCCATGCACAAAACCCTGTTCTTATGATGAATCTCATTCACTCAGTTCCGCGCCCACATATATATCTTTTTTTGTCGATGTTCAAAGGGTGCTTGCTTTTTTTTTTTTTTGATCTAACAAATGGTATTAGTTGTGGCGTTGAAGAAGGGTAAACAATGACCATGCACACGAACGTATTGTGCGAGGCGCTTCTTCATGCGCAGTATGGGAGGAGAGATACGCCATGTCTCGCAGACTTTCCTGCGTCGGTGTCTAGAAAAGAGGTGGAGGAAGTTTATTTGCCGTTTCTCGCCAGTGAAGAGGCCCAAGTACGGCAAAATCTCACACTTGGAGATGTGGAAATTATTGGGTATGATACTGCCTCTCTTCTCACGGTGGCTGGTGATGCCATTGCGGCAGGGCTGGTTTTGGCTGAACTGCTCTCAGAAGAGACTACCTCCGCTCTTTTACAAATGAATGGTGGTTGATGGTCCAGCTCCAGGTGAATGCATTCCTGTGACATTGCAACTAGATAACTTTGGGGAGTATATGTTGAGTTTTTAAAAAAGGGGTGGGGAGGCACATGACTAGTAGGAATCTTTTTCTCCCCTCCATTGGGTTATGTTTTTTTTTTCTTTTTGCTCTTGGGGCTGCGTCATGAGTTGTGGGACTCAGAGTGTCTAGTGCGGTGGCGATAATTGTTCAGGATGTTTGTTGTGCCATGGGGGAGAGGCTGTAGAGCAAGTAGCTCTGACGGGGCAAGGTGCCTTGACTCTACTCACGCAAAGGAAAAAAAAAATTGGGGAGCGGATGGAAAATGTTTTTTTTCTTTTTGCTTTTGCTTGTATTCCCTGTGTGTGTGTGTATGCCTGTTTTCACTTTTTCTTCTTCTCATACAATCCGGCAGCAGAAGAAAGAGAGTTAGGGGTGGGCAGAAGGGATTTATCTGTAGATCAAGTGATGAATGTTAGTACATTGCTTCAGCGTCAGTTGGAATTGCATGGGGCGCTTCGGCGTCCACCCCAAACGGTAGGTCAGCTCCAGGAAGTCCACCGAGTCATGAAGGAGTTGCTGAGTTTTTTTCAGAGTGTGAGGTCCACAGCGAGCGAGCTGGGAAGCTCACCAGAAACCGTTTTCCAGTGTCTTATGCACATTGGTATGGGAGACGTTCTCAGTTTTGACAGACAGCGACGTGATGGTGCGGTGCCGATGCATCAAGCAAAGGTTCTGTCTCGGACCAATGCGATTAAATTGGAGCCACGTCTTCGAACTGCAGTTCCTGCTGATGCGTTAGATTCTATGGTGGCCCTTAGCAAAACCACTCGAACTCTGCTGCGCATTAAGGTGGAGGATGGTAATGATTTCTCCATTGCAGAAGATGCGTTGCGGCAATCCATAGAGTACTTGGACTATATTGATACAGTCTCAAGAAACGTTCCTGAGATCATGTTCAAATTCTACATGGTGGAGGATGAGGCATCGTTGTTAACGTTATTAGGTCACGGCGGTTCGAAGAAATTGCGTGGGCCCTCTGAAAATGGGGCCTTCACAGAAATAATGACTGCTTTGCCACGTGACGAAGACCTGGAAAAAGAAATCTGCCAACAGGCGGACGTGTGTGCATCTACGACAGAATCAGCAGGAAATAGAGTAAATGCCCTGCGAACCATCAATTGTTGGATAAATGGGATGGACGAAGATCAATTTCTTCACCATATCCTTCATGTGGCATCGCATCTTTCAGGCCCCTTGTCCGTCTGCGCTGCGGAAAAGCGTTCTGCAGTTTGCCGACAGGCGTGTAATGCTTTGGTGAGTATTGCAAAAAGAACCCCCGCAAGGTTCTACCACGAGGGTCCACTGAAGGCGGCTCTCACCAGGTGGTGCTCTGTCCTTGTGCGCGGCATCTTTGTCACGGTGTCAGCAATTGCACGTGCCACACACGCGGCTCTTCGGGCCCTTGTTGTGGGCAGCGGAGGCAATGCAGCGATGTTAAAATGCATCTTAGACAGTTTAGAATCCGCCGCACACCCGGAACTGCGGCGCAAGTGTTTGGGGTATCTTGTTCTTGGAGTTGTCGCTTCGCAGGGTAAGGTCTGCGCACTCTGCCCTGGCCTTGCGGCGGTGTCGGTGAAGTACATGGAGATTGGAGACAGTGCATCTAGGAAGATGGGAAGAACACTTTATATCACCCTCGTACACTTCGGTGGGGTGTCCAACGTGATGGTCAACCGGAAATCCGAGTCTCTCATTCGTCAAGAGAAGGTGGAGCTAAGCGCGGTTCTGGATGACGTCGAGGCCGTTGACGAAATTTTATTTGGCGCGAATTTAGAAAGGCGGCGCTCAACTGTCTTAAGCGTGCGGCGTGACACGGCCCACTTCAACACGCCCACTGCATCCTCTGCAACGAAGGCAGAGCGACAGAAACGCGCGTCACCCGTCACTGGGGACATCTACGATACCTCTGTCTGCCTCAGAGCGCCTAATACGCTGCGTGAGGGGGTGCAGCCAACGAGGCTTCCCACTGTTTTCTCGCGGGAGAACAGCAACCGTATGAAGATGTCTGCTGGGGGTCAACTTCAGCCACTTCTGCAGCTGGACAATGATACTTTGCCTACTCAACCAACACAGCCAAAAGACGTGAAGTTGAGCGTTTCACTGCGCCGCAAGATTGAAGAGGCTTCTTCTCTTCCCGCCTTACGTCACTGACACCTGAAATTGTCTTATCAGCAACCATTGGAAATGTCATGGATTTGCTTTGTAATCCACGGAAGAAACGCTCCTCCACTTAATACGGCAGTGCGGCTGCAACTCTTAAGTGGTACCAACGATTTCTGAAGACTGGGGTTGGCACCATTGTATGGGTTGCATGTTGTGAATGGATAATGAAGGGAGCTACAGTTAAGAAGCTGAGGAACCCTAACCTAAGCACAACGGAAAGAGAAAAAAAAATTAAAAAAGAAAAAAACGTGTGATGGAAGCGCAACTGAGTGACAGGGGAATTTGTTGGGACACTTTGTGTGTTGAAGTGACCAAAGAAGCCAGACGGTGTTTGCTGCCTCAAAAAAAGCAACGAAGTATATATGTGAGGAACTTTTTTTGATATATTTTTTTTTTTTTCGTGGAATGTGATACGCAGTCACAGGAGCATACTTGTATACATGTTTTGCATCTTATACATTGCGGTTTGTTACAAATTTGTGTGGTGCGTAGTGCTTGACGGTGCAACTATTACTAATACCACTACCAGGTGTTTTTTATTGTTGTTTGTGACCCTCCTCCGTGGATTTTATTTGAATTTTTTCCTTTTTTTTTTTTGGCGTCTTTGTTTCTATGCATATGGGTCTTGCTGCCGAGTGGCTGGAACACGCAGCGTTACTTGCAGGGTGAGTGTGGTAGTTGTTGGGGCGATAAATTATTTGCGCTTGGGACTGAACCAAGAAAGGGAGAGCGATGGTGTGCCCGCCTGCTGCCAAACGGCCGCGCCTAGAGGCCAAGGCAAGTGAGACGCCTTGGGTGGAGAAGTACAGGCCACAAACATTGAACGAGGTGAAGTCACAGGAGGAGGCAGTGAGTGCGCTGCGGGCCAGTCTTCAGTCACGCGCAAGCATGCCACATTTCCTTTTTTACGGTCCACCTGGCACGGGAAAGACAACGGCGATCCTAGCTGTGGCGCGGGAACTCTTTGGGCCGGATTATATGCAAAACCGTGTGCGAGAGCTGAACGCGAGTGATGATCGTGGTATTCAGGTCATACGCGAAAAGGTGAAGGTATTCGCACAGACGGCAGTTGGAAATGTTGGGCAAAAGGTGCAGTCTGATGGAAAAGTGTACCCCGTTCCACAATTTAAGCTTATTATTATGGATGAGGCAGACGCATTATTGCCAGATGCACAGGCCGCTTTGCGGCGGATGATGGAGGACTTCAGCGATGTGACACGCTTTTGCATTATCTGCAATTACGTCAGCCGCATTATTGATCCTATAGCCAGTCGCTGCGCCAAATACCGGTTTAAGCCTCTTGTAAAAGAAGCTTTGTACGGTCGGATTCGTGAAATTGCACAGTTGGAAAAACTAGCCGTCTCAGATGTTTCGTTGGAGGCGTTGGACTGGGTGAGTGGGGGGGACTTGCGGTCCGCCATCATGTATTTGCAATACGCACAGAAGGCGCATGGAAATGATCTTACACGGGAAGATTTTTTGGAGGTTTCGGGTAGCGTTCCAGTGGAGACGTTGCAAAAATACTTGAAGGCACTTGTAACGAAAAGCTTTGATACCATGTATTCCTTGACGAAGGAGCTTGTTGGAGAAGGCTACCCGGCAAGCCAGCTCCTTGCACAGCTCCAGCGCTACATTACTGATGCAAGCTGTCCTTTAAATTCTTGTCAGAGGGGCTGCGTTGCATTGAAGCTCTGCAATGTGGAAAGACGTTTGTCGGACGGCGGTGATGACTTTCTACAGCTTCTGGACTTGGGGGCCACCATCTGCGCCCTGTGACTCCTCAGGAATAGGGGGAATACAATTAAATATGACAACTAGAGAAGAACAAACATAGACCCTTGGAGTTGCCAAACTGCATGTGCTACGGCTGGCGGCTTTGCATGGCGCTGCTTTCTTGTTGTTGTTGTTTTTCTGTTGTGGGAGGGTGGGGAAGTGTAGACAAAACCAGGTAAGTAACACCAAGAGGGGGAGAAGGGAATGCCTTCGATGATAGCAAAAGAAGCTTTGGGGGCGGTGGGGGGTTCCCTGCCGAAACACACGGATCGTTACATTTTACCTTCTTGTCGTCGTGTTGGTGGTGTTTCTTTAGTGTTTGCTGTTTGGCTTTTCCATTTTTTTTTTTATATGGTGCATACTTTTTGGTGTTGCGGCGTACTCCGTCCCCCTGTCGCCCCCACACGTGATATGTTTTGCTTTTGTTATTGCTTCTTTCTCAGGGCGACTTATGCTCGACTTGCTGCACGCACTGCTCTTCACTCGCACATCCTTTAGGGAAGGAAAGCAGGGAAACGGGGCATGTCTTCAAAACCGTTGGACGAGAGTGATGTCCAGTTCAACACCGAGGTGGATCCCGAGGCCGAACTGCAGGAAATGCAGCGTCAAGTGAATGACTTACACGAAGATATACGACTAAAGACGCTGCAGGAGACTGCGGCCCAAGACGAAGGTCACCGAAAGAACACTGGTTCTGTGGCCACAAAAAACACATCTATTTTTGTAGGTGCAATGGACCCTCGTACAACGGAAGGAGAGCTTCGGGTATTTTTCAGCTCATGTGGCACGATTAAACGACTCACCATGCTACGGGATAAGTTTACTGGGCAGTTAAAGGGTAATGCATACATAGAGTTTGAGACGCCTGAACAGGCCGCTGCAGGAATCTTGAAGGATGGCCAGTCGCTACATGGGAAGCCATTGAACGTTGCGATGAAGCGTGATAACATTCCGGCGTTTCAGCGCGGTAGGGGGGGAGGTGGTTTTTCCCGGGGCGGCTTTCGCGGCGGAGGACAAGGCGCGATGCAACAGCAGATGGCGATGGCTGCAACTATGATGGCTGCAAGCATGCTGGGTGGCGGTGGTGGTTTTAACCCGTTTGGCGGACCGGTGCGTGGACGGGGTCGAGGGCGCGGGCGCGGCGGACAGCACTAACGGCGCAAAGTAGGTAATGATAATCCTTGAGGAGCGAAGGCGGACGACGAAGCGCGAGAAGGAGAGGGGTATTGCTGGTCTGTCCCGTGCACAACGTGGCCAGCTGTTGCGGGTTTCGCAGGATAGGGAGGGGGAGAGAGCGAGAGCCAGAGCGGAACCGCAGCACGTGGTGATGCTCCTTGATATCCGCAGTGGAAACTGGAGCAGACAGGGAGGAAGGATAGGGAGAGTGAAAAATACGAATATAAGAAGAACCACACACCTACCCCCCTCAATGAACACCAACATCAAAAACGTGTAGGAAGAAAAGAGGGTTGTTGGGGAGGGGGAGGAGAATGAAAAACAACAATAATAACTCAAAAAACATACAAGAAAGCCTGTTTGGATTTTGGCAGCTGTTCTCCGTCGCTTGCTGTCTCCCTTGTGCGTTGCGCGAATCACCTCTCTGCGTGGTGCCTACGAAATGTGTGGATATGTTTTTCCCATTTTATTCTGGATTTTATTCAGGGACCTTTGAGTCATCGGTCGTTTTGTTTACTGACTTGGTTTTTAGTACTGCACTGCGTGCGTGTCTCGGGGCTTGCTTTTGCTTCGGACATCGTGTCAACGGGTGTCCGTGTCCAGTGTCTTTGCTTCATCCTGAGCAACTTGGAACTTGTCAAAGGTGTGAAGCTCTTTGCAATTACGCAAATCGTGGAGGCCTTTGGCATTCATGCTTTGGAGCCCCAACCTCTATGGATGGACGAAGGCAAAGCGTTAACACACTTTAAAGCGGCTCCAAACCGTCTCGCTAGGAAGGTACGACGTTATGGAGGGTATGATTCCGACGTCACTCGTTTGAAGGCAAACGTACAACAGCCATTGGCCTTCCACAGTCCCTCTGCATCCATGTTCATCGTCGCATGTTTGCTTGCATCCGACAGCCATCTTATGGATCCACGTTTGGTATCATTGGTGGAGCGGCAGGGGGCGACTATAATCATGTGATTTCACTGGAAGAATCTTACCATCTTCACGCGGTAGGGTGGGGTGGGGTGATATCCATGTCATCACAGCAGCTAACAGCTTGTTAGCGGCGGACATTGGCACAAGCATCTTCTACAAACATACATAGGACGGTAAAGCCCTGTAACGGCACCTTGTCACCGAACTAAGGAGCTTTACACTCATCATGTGGAAGGGGTTGGGAAAATTTGAGTATTTCGAAGGAGAAACCAAAATATTTAATGCCCGAAAAGTGGACTTGTTTTGCTCGTCTAACGATTGGTCCCAGCACCATCTCCTGGAGGCGCGTGAAGGCTGTTAATGATGGGCTGCTGCGAGAAATTACAGTCAGAGTCAAGGCAAGGGAGTAGAAGTGTATGACAAGAGAAACAGGGTGTGATAACTCTGTGATCACTGAATTAATGGTCATTGTGTTGCGCCTTCTAAAAATCTGACTGAGCTGTTTGCTCACTTTGTCGTTATTGAGGTGATGAGGAGCTTTTTTTACAGATTCGATCACCCCGGAAGATATTAAATGCGCTAGAACTATGGCTGTGCTGATGAAGCACGCAATCGAGCCCACGCTCATGATAGCACTGGAAGGTACACTTGTTCTTGCGTACGCAGGACCCCTCGGGAACGTTGCGTACGAAAACAGTAGTACTATTGCAGACCGAATTGGACCACAACTGGCTGTTCTGGAGAACTTCATGCTAACGGAAGTGGGTTCCGGTGCTGACACGGGATGTGAAAAGTTTGTTCGCATTACGTGTTGCGCCAGATGACTGAAGCGGGATGTTGTTGTGACTGTTGCCACAGTTCAGGCCACTGAGGTTTCATGCTGAAGTAGAAGCAAGCAAATCAGGAAGTGAAAATGTGTAGTTTATTGGTCGGCAGCGTTCAAACCTTGCTTGTCAAGTCATATATATGCACAAGTTTGATGTGCTCGTGTTTTTATCCTAGTGAACTATTATTTTTTTTTGACTGATACTTGAGTTTGAACCGGTGAAGGGTTTGGTTTAGTGTGAGATAACTCCCTTTGATGTTTTGGTGACGAAGAAGGAGGCTCGAGGTGGGGCAGGCGCTGTTGAGCTTTCTCAAGTCGTTATTTGAGCGGCGCATGAGGCAAAGGTGGATTGACGTATGCTGTGGTCAGACACCGACGGTTAAAAAAAATAATAATGATGGAAAGATTTGAAAGGAAATATGTGGCGCCGTTGGCGTAGAATGTCCGAGTAATGCAAGAGAAAATTTGGAGGATTTCAGCATTGCAGTTGCGGCCCGTTTTCCATATGCAATAGTGAAGGCACAGAACTGTTTATTACGATCACTGTGCTTTGAAGAACATTTGGATGGGTTTCACAGTACTCAATCTTGAAGATTATATGAACTATGGACCGAAGATTTTGTCTTCCCACTGGTTTGAGGCATCTCCACTAGGCCGGATTTTTGTGTCAGTCCCGCATTGTTTTTTTTTTTTGCCACAGATCTTGATGGTGAAACAAGGGTTTTATCGGGGGGTTATCGTAAAATGTTTTACTTGGTTTTTTTGTTTTTGTTTTTATTTGTTTCCCTCCTGGCGCATAGAATGATCGGGAAATGGAGGAACTAGTTCAACTTGCGTATATGGTTGTATACATATGCAGATCGTGGAAAGAAGTGACGCGGGTTCAACATGTGCTTGTATTTCGCTCTCTATATCTCTCTTCTTGCCCAATGCTCTCTTTTTCTTGCTCTCACATGGTGGAGTAGGACAAGAACAAGGTAAATTCTTCTATTCTGCTCTTGTCGCTGGGATTTGGTTTGCCGTTTTACCAGAAACTAAGCAAGGTGGGTAGTGGTGAGGAGGAAATTCAGTGGAACGAAATGAGTCTGTTCCAGTGGAAAGTGGGTGAGAACTACGTCGATGTGCTGAGTTCGTGTCCGTTCACTATTCAGTCCTGCCAATCAGCTGATTTTTTGAATTTGGGTATGCCACAGCAATCATTTCCACTTCACGCAAGACGCCAATGGTATGTGGCGGGCAAATATATAGCAACGCTCTGGGCCTTGGATACGGGAAGATCCTACCTTGTTAATGTCGTGGTATCAAACGAGGATGCCTCTGTGCCTGGCGCTGATTCAGTGGACTGCAACGGCAGTGGAAGCAGTGTGGCCGCAGCGTTGGAGTCTACGGTTCTTGTGAAGTTACCCCAAAACAACGGGCCACTGGCGTTGTGCTCAGCACATGCCATTTTGGATGTGCGACTTCTCTACCGGGATGACTTCCTAAACTGTGTATTGTCTCAAAGCGGCGATTTTATGTTTGTTGAACAGTCTGGAATGGCGAAACCGACCTTGCTGCACCTTTTGTTTTACCACTCTCTTTTTGCCCTTCCGTATGAAGTGAATGGAAAGCCTATATATTTGCTTCCAAACGGCGCCACAGGGCGCTTTTGTTTGGACTTGACGCAGGAGAACGTTGCTTGGCGAGGCAGTAGAAAGGTGCGGCGACTCATGTCGTGTGATCGCTTTGTGGTGGCTGTGAATCGAGACATTCGAGACTCGCTTTGTTTGGCACGGGAATACCATATAAAGCAAAAGGGATCGACATGGATAGGCGTCAGCTATATCGACCTTCTTGTGAATATGGCGAGCCATCCTGCTTATGGAGTGCGCATCATGGCGTTGGAGCTGTTGGAAAAAAATAGTGGCATGGTTCTTGCCGGGTGTCTGGGATACTCCCTCGGAAGTGTGTATCACGATTTTACCATGTTTACCATGGAACGCGGGCCCGAGGGATTTGGTAACTTCGCCACCAAACTACTGGGTGAGGCTCTGCAGCAATGCGGGTACAATTTCTGGTATTGGGGGATGCGCTTAGCCTACATGGAGCAGTTTGAGGGGAAATACGGCGGAAAAGTTGTTTGTAAATCGGAGTTCATCACGCGTTGGGGGCAGTATCGAAATATACAGCCGACTTGTACGTTGGAGGCGTTTTTTCAGTCAGGGAGAGGCATGCTGCCCTACTTTGTTCCTGTGGAGTAGTCCCTGGGTTGGGCGGGAGGCGCAGTGGTTGAGAGCGAAGAGGAAGTGGAAGTGAGAGTTTGTCTAAGTCCCCGCCAAGGAATGCGAGTGGTGGGCGAATCAGTGCGCAACGCAACGAGACGCGAGGGGGGAAAAAAAAAACGAAACAACGTACAAACCGCTATGTTGGCTGCGGAGGGAGAGAGGTTCATATGCCTTTCTGACCCCCGGTACTATTTTGGCCCACTCTTTGATCACATGCACTTACGAACGAATTCACTTCTTTAGGGTGCTGCTCTCATGATCGTAAGGACGGCCATGAGAACGGTGGAGGACCGCTTTTTTCACCCCCAAGCCTGTTGGGCGTGCTGTCAGTACACCTCGAGACGTCATGCAGGCAACAAAGACTCCACCAGCTCTCGATGCTTTTCATCATCAACATGTCCTTTTGCGACTCTGGGGATCAGCCAAAATAGCAGTCTTGGGGCGGTGAAGGCGGCTTATCGAGCAAAATGTCGCACACATCACCCTGACTTTGGTGGCAGTGAGTTGGGGTTTTGTGCCATCAAAGAGGCCTACGAGGAGTGTGCCAGCCGTATGCGTGAGCGAAGCAAGAAGTGTCATGGTACATTTTCTAGGAAGGGAGTACATGGACCAGCTCCGGAGCCTGAAGAGGAAGCAGAGAATGGAAAATTTTGGCGGCAGTCAGATGCCTGGTACGAATCTCACGCCAAATGTCTTCAAAAGCAACGAAAAATGTTTTACAGTGCATTTCCATATGCGAAGACAATTGATGAAATGGATGAGCTCTTTCGTCGGCTCTGGATAGTCACTGGCTCGTCACCCATTGACCCGGGTGAACCGTTGGTGCTCGCACTAAAACACTATCATGTAGTGACTGGTCACGGTGGTCAACATCTGCACAGCTGCTTCACCACCATCGACCAATGGGGGAAGAGTTTACTGTATCTCGGGCAGGGGCTACCATGTATCATATTTTGCTGCTGCTGCTCTACACTGATGGCCCTACGCGGGGGCTGACTGCAACCGTCATTGCAGAAAGCGTGGAGACCATTATGGAACAAATGAGTGTAAAAGGCCTCGACTTTGATGACTGGACGCTTATGTTGGCATACAAGGCGTATCGAGCAACACCATACCCTTCTTAAACATGGCGAATAAGAACAAGAGACAAAGGGGTAATCCATGTTTGAATGAGTGCTAGTAGAAAGAATTGTGGATATAACGCGTTGTGGTGGTCCTTACTTTAGTTTGCTTCCTTCATGTTGCTGTCGTGAGTGTGAATGACGTTTCGTTCGCTGTTGGGTTTGTTTGTGAGGAAGATGCCTTTATTAATGTGTGTTTGTGTGAGCTTTTGGGATGTAGGGCACTTTTTGGATTTATTTTCTTCACGTTGACCTGAATGCATGACAACCGTTGATTGAAAGTATTACGCCCTCTGCGGCCAACAGATTTACTTTTTTTCCTTTTCGTTGTATGGCTGTGTGTTTGTGCAAAAAGAAGTAACGATCAAGACAAGAAATAAAAAAAAAGGAAAAAAAAACGAACTCGAAGAGAACGATATAAAGGGAAAGTCGATAAAGATGACATTTTGTATCTTCAGTGAATGCAGTTGCATGTCCCTGTGGGACGTGCTAGCATGGCAACGCCCCATAGTTACGGGTACAATACTTGGAACTATGCTTTCGGTACTGACCGTATTTTGCGTTATGGAATACACAATGGTAACATTCCTCTGCCGCATTCTGCAGCTGTTCCTACTGCTTGGTGTCGTTGTGGGTTTAACGAATCGATGCAAGCTCACCTCCGACGACATTCACTGCGCTGTTAACCGATTTGTGGACTACGCCACTCCCCGGCTGGTGGCAGCCCTTGAAACGACGCACAACGTTGTGACGTGGCGTGACTACACCACTTCTGGGACGGTGACTGTAGTTAGCGTCGTGATTGCTTTTCTCGGAAACTTTATCTCCGACTTCGGCTTTTTCATGATTGCCTTTGTGTTGGCTTTCACAGTTCCTGTGGTGTACGAGAAGAAGAAGGATGTGATCGACCAGTGGGTGGAAATGGTCGTGTCGCAAGTGCAGAAGTACATGGGGACGATCAAGACGAAGGTGGAGGAAGCGACCAAGAAGAAGGAGTAACGTGGAAGGAGACGCCGCACATCATAAGGGGCACAATGTTGGCTGGCATCTTCAGAGAGTGCATTTGTGCTTGGTGCGGGGGGAGGGGGGAGTAGTAAAAGGAAAAAAAAACACGCTGCATGGGTTGGATCAAAAAGTGAAGGAAAATATTGTAACAATCGACAGCAAACCAGAGAGGTAGAAAGGACGCGGTTCTGACGACGTGCGCGTGTGTGCAACTCCTTAATGGCGGAGAGCGGTGGAGAGAATGAAGGGAAGAAAACGAAGAGAAAACACAATGGGGGGAGAGCTTGAATTTTTGAGCATCATCCACCGACCAAGGTACGCGTGGGAAAAAAAAAAATGAAATGAAACACCTGTTCGTATGCACGTGCACATATGTGCACGTATGTATGTGTGTCAGCCCGTCATACGCCACAGCCTGCACGACGCAGAGAGGATAAACATGGAAGTTGGCGCAGGACGTCGGTAGTGGACTGAAAACTTTTACAAAAGTAAACTTCAGCTAAAGAAAAGAAGTTTTCTCTCTCTCTCTCTGGGGAGTTTACCGAAGAAGAAACCGAATGATTTCTGAACGAGGTAAATAGAGAAATCAAGATAAGATGGACATGGAGAAGAAAATGTGGGAGCGGTGCTATGTTATCTTGCTGCGGCAGCTCGATTCTCGTTAGTTTCAACTGAGCATTTGCGAAGCAACTGAATGTACTGAGCAGAGAAAAATAATAATAAACGGTGAAGATGATGTTATTGAGAAGTGTTGGAAAAAACAGGAAAGGAAAAAATAATAGAAAGAAGCAGGGAAAGAAAAGATATGGGAGAATGGATACGCGCGCAAAAGGAGGGGGGGTGGGGGTGGGAAGGATGGCGATAAAAAAAAAAATGAACTACTAGGTCTTTTCTTTTTGTTTTTTTTGTGCACTTCTCTTGAATATGGAGGAGGGACGGAGTTACATCAGATTTTTCTGCCTGAGCGCTTGGTTCCCCGTACATAAGGTATCTCTGCAGATTCCACATGCACTTTTACGTTTATTTCTTGCCAACTTGTGTCTACCGCATTAAGGACTTACACATATATACAAGAGGAGGGGAGGATAAGTATAGAGGGAGGGAAGGAGAATTACATTGCGCTCCAGTTTGGTGGAGTCGGACGCGCAAGGGGAGCAATTTGACCAACGTTGTATTTAACTCGAGCCAGAAAGGATGTGGTTGCAAAAAAGTGGAAGAAGCATGGGATTAGGGTGGGATGAGTTCCAAGGTAGTTTATGTGGCCCGCGATTTTGATGACGTCGAGAGTACCTTGAATAAGCAAGCTAAATGAAACGCAGGTGTGATTGGCCTACACAAAATTTTCTGTGGGTATTGGGACCTTTACGCGCAACAAGTTCATTTGCATCATCTTTATCAGCCTTAACTGCGGTATAGTAAAACACGTATAAGGCGTTGAGAAGGTTAATATGTTTTAAAAATGTCCTCAATGACGGGAAAATCTGCGCCTTCCCTTGTCTCTGTAGTTCAGCAGATGCGCAAAGTGTTTGCCACCACCACTGGCAACGTCTCGGTGAATGAGATAGAGGAGGAATATAAATGATGCATAAAATAACAGCAAAACAACATGCATCATTGTTTACTACCTACACGATCAAAACCATGACCACACCCAGGACCAGTACCTGCGCCAGTGTCGCATCCATTTTCAGATGAGGGCGGGTGGGAGATGCCAAGCTTCACCATTGCTCAAATTAGACGCACTCCCTGCGAGATTGACAGTAATACACGGAATGTTCTTCGACGCTCTTTACAAAGAACTTGGGACACCTTTGAATCTAACCCATTGCGCTTAACACCTTCTGATGCCGGTAACGGAGGTATCTTTGAGCTCATGAAGTACCTGCTGGCGCCAAAGTGGATCTTTGGTGTCTTCCGCACCACAGTTGGCGCAGCGGAGGGGCGTGAATCACAGTTAATCTCCCTTCAGTGGATGGGCGGCAAGCTGCGGAGGTGGTGTGTGAAGGGCCAACAACGCGCGTCTTTTCCAAGATGGCCGCCATTTTGGTGCAGTATCACTTATGAGATTTGACTTGTTGGTTCACAGGAGTTGAACACGCAGGCAATCATCAATTGATGTCATTTCGCTTTTTTGATTTGTGGGGTACAAACGCCATCTGAGGTAACAGATGACACCCTGCGTGATTTAAAGACAAAGCTGCACCAAGTTAACTTTATCTTTGCGGAGCAAGGCTGTGGCACCATATTGGAGGGGCGGAGTAAAATGGGCCTTGACTTTGACGTTGTGCATTTAAAGAAGAAGCGGCGTTTGCTGCCGTTTATTGAGAAAAGCGGCAGCCATACTAAAATAAAGGTGGACCGCGTCTTTGATACCATGGAAACACATGACCTCATCACTCAGAGCGAAGGTGGGCTTGTTTGAGGCATATATTTGAGGTCCATGAAGTAGCGTGGCCTTGCAATGGGAGGGCGAAAACAAAGGGGAAGGGGGAAGGGATGGAAGCCGATGTAAAATGGGGTTGAGTGAGCAAAAAGAAAGAAAAAATTATCTCTTCTTTTTATTGCGGAAGCAAATTATCGTTTTTTTTTTCCTGCCGAGTGTGCGTGTTTTGCTGTGTGATTGAATATGTGTGTGCATTGTGAGGGTGACAAGCCGCGGAGGAACTCGTAGTATGTTGAAGGGGTCAAAAGGTAAGTAAAAAAAAAAAAAAAGAGGACCACTGATAATAGCAGTCAGTGCAGGAGGATTGTGATTATTTTTTGACCTTTTTTTTTTTACATTGTTTTTTGCCGTGTATTTTTGGTTGTTGTTTTGTCTATTGGAGTCGGAGGGTGGTACCGGCAGGTAAAAGGGGCTTATCGATCGTCGTTGTTCTATGCCTGCGGTAACGACATCTGTTGAGACCTTTTGTGTGCGTGTGCGAGAGAGACAAAAGGATTTTTGTTTTTACTTGAGGCGACTCTCCGCTGAGTTTGGTCCATGAGGAAGAGGCAAGTCAGAGCTTCATGTAGTCTGCATTTGCAATGCACACACGAAGGCCATGGGCAAACAAGGCAGTGAGGAGCCTTCTTTGGCGCCACCAGGCACACTGGGATGTGTTCTTCCGTGGTTTTCACTTTTTTTTTTTTTGATCTATACTTCTCCGCCTCTCATATTCCTCCCACGATGTTCTGCTCAACAGCTTTGTTACCTTCATGGCTTCCCCTATCTTACAACAACCATACCGAGCCACGAGAAGAGCTATGCGGACTGTGAGCAAGGTGGGGTTAGCTTGCGATTCAGTTTTGTGAGCTCAGCTGTGCAGCGTGATGTGCGAAACTTCTTCTATTAGTATTATTCTTTTGATCTACTTAGTGCTGATAGACGACGGAAATGACACACAGCAACAGGGACAAAGAGGAAAGAGGCAATGAAGTGAAAGAAGGGTGTATGTTTTAAAGGACTTCTTTACGGCATATTTTTGCCTATATATTTTGATGGAACATGCGTTTGTTGCTTCCCTTGCTTTTCTTAACTTACTGCCCCCTCCTTCACTCCACTCCCGCGCTGTCGTCTCATTCGTGACGTACATATAATATATACGACGTGCATGTGTAACATTTGTTTTTATTCCTATTTTTACTTCCACAACCTTCGGGAAATGATTGGAAAAGTAAACCGCCGTGTATTTGAGTGTGTAGGAATAGGTGGACGTATTCCTTGTCTCTGCATGTGTGCTATACGCGCATACATATGTTTGGTTCACTGCATTAATGGTTGCCAGTGTTACAATTTGCCGTTTTTTTTTTCCGTTGACGTTTCTCCTTCTGCAGCGTTTTTTTGTTTTTTTTTTTGCGGAAGTCTGGTGCAGGAGCAACGAAGAGCGTCAAAATCGAAAGTAAGGAAGATAAGTCGACATAATTTGTTTAACGTGCCACAACCCGCCATTTTTGTGTGTCTGTGTGTGGTGACGTGAAATGGACAACGGGCGCCCCCTTGACCCGTTCCAGACGCTACCCCTCAGAGGAATGCGGTATATCACGTCACCATCCGTGCCTTCCGTGGCGCTCGGCAACAAGCATCTACCACAACTGCCGTACACCCCAATTGTGTGCGCCGAGGGCGGATCAAATTTATTGGCGGCGATTCCTGCTACTTGTCCCTCCGCCTCTATGCCACTTAACACTTCGAATAAGGATGCAACGCAAACAGTCAACGTAAAGGCGAATGACAACAAAAAGAATACGAGGAGAAAGTCGGTAGCGGGGCAATACGTGACCTCAAAAGCAGCCACCATTGCTCACAACGGAACTCTGTCATCCACACTACATACTAGCTCAAGGGGGGACACGCATCGGAGTCCGTCGCTGTCCATGCTGACCTCACATATGGACAACTCGGCGAAGACGGTGACAGCGAACGCCTTGATGTTTTCCAAGAAAATGGGTGAAACTTATTCTGGGGGCAGGGATACAGTAAACTCCACGAAGTACCGCACTGTTTCTAACGAGGCACTCCCTCCTCTGGTAACTGTACTAGAACGTTATATCCGTCGAGAGATGGATGCGACATTAAGTAGGGGTACACCTGTTACTGCGCAAGATCGCCTACGGCCCTTTCGTGAGGCTTTTTTTGCCTTTATTGACGCCTTCCCAGGGTATGGCAATATTCTAAATGATATCATAAGTGCCTACGATGGCGTCATTCAGGAACAGGCGAAGCTGCTAGTGGAAACAATTTCAGGGCAGTCGCAACATCATCTTGCGGAGCAGCATCACATTGCGGAGGTCGCCGGGTTGAAAGCTACCATCTCGAATTTAATGGCGGAGCTGGATGAGTTTCGCAACCAGGTCAAGGAAACTGAAATGCCGCCATCTTCCAAGGATGGTGAAAGAATCATCTCGGAGCCACGCTTGCAGCGGCTAGCAAAATTGTCCTCTGAAAAGGACAAGGAGCTGCATGACGCCAGAGAACATATTGCAGCACTAGGTGAGGTCATAAAAAGTGATCTGGAGAAACAACTCGTACTTATTAATGCCTTGCGGGAGAGTGATCGACGTGCAAAAGCAATGGAAGAACAACTCAGCGCTGCCGCTTCTCAAATGGATGAACTTGCAGACTTCAAAATCATGGCAGGGGATGCTCAGAAGCAACTTGAGGAGTTTAAATTAAAGTATGAGAATTTTATTTCGGTACAGGATCACGAAATTATACGAGACTACCTGAAGGGTGAATTACAAGCGGCCCAGCACATGGTTCGTCAGTATCGTCGCTCTGCTGCTGTGCGAGGGACACAAGTCGATGTCATTGGTAGGAAACTCAAGACCATTCAAGAAGAAAATAAGAAACTTATTGACACTGTTGAGGACGAGCGGAAGGAACTTCTCACTCCCCGTCCAGACTGGAAGAAAATACATGCGTCACTCCCTGATCTCAAGGAAATTGCGACTCCTTTTAAAGCTATTACGCTTGAGGGTGATGAAGCCATAACATCCACAGTGGAGGGGTTAAGTGAGACCCGGCTTCAGGTGGAATACCTTGTGGAGAGTGTTAACTCACTTTCGCGGGAGCTGCAACAACGGAAAATGGTACTGAAGCCCATGTCAACACCAACTCTTTCTCTTATAGGTCAAGGAATGGACCCTCGTGTGCCTCTGCATCTTCGTGCGTGTGGCATTATTCCCCGCGTGAGCTTAGATCAGGTAGAAATATTACTCCTTGTACATGATTTTTTTTCTGACATTTTGCAACCCCACCCTGACGTTCTTTTGCATACCCTTGATGTCCCAGCGCTCTATAAAGAGTTTCTACAAGAACGGATACAAACCAGGGAAGCACTTCAAGTTTTTGTGTGTGCGGAGCATCTTGCGATCAACCTTGCTGATGTTGCAAAGTGTAAGGAGAACACTCGACCTTCACTTCGACTCTTAGACGGTATCCTCTCCGGTATATTCCCTGCGCGTATTGCCTGTGACGTCATGACGATTGTAGAGAATGTTCGACTTGAATTAACGGGTCTGTCAAAGGGGCAGGGAAAAACGCGTCTTCGTCGGGTAGCGATTAGTGATTGTATTGCCCCATTCTTGAACCTTAAGACGTTGGCAGAAGTGGTTGCCCTGAGGGAGGCGATGGGTTCCGATACAACCCACAATGTAGGGACTTTGTGTGCAACGGAAGGAAAATTTATGTCTACGTTTTTTGACCAGGAGTGTGCATCGGGTATGGCGTTTTATGTAAACTTGTTGGAAAAACTGACCTCGTACGCCTATTGCGTTAAGCCGGAGAACAATGAATTGGTGATTTCGCTTGAAAACGTGGGGCAGGCTATTACCGAGGTGGAGCCGTTAACCCCAAAGGTCATCATCAAGGAGATCACCGAGAATTCTACGGAAAAAAGTGTGAGCGTCGAAAAGGTCACAGTGCGTCTGAGTGATGTGATACATCTTTTGGCAGCAGCCCCGTTGATACGTCGCTCAGCGCAGCCAAAGTCCGAGGAAGGAAAACTTTAGGGGTATGCTGGCAATGTATGTAAAGTGCCAACACTGTGGGATACTTCGCTCCACAGACCTTTTTTTTTTTTTTGTTTACGGTGGAAGAGGGGAATTTTGGTGATGCCTCCTTACTGCGTGGTTTTTTAGATTATCCCGCACTTTTTCAGTTTCCCATTTTTACTTATGTTTCTTTCACTTCTTCAGTCACCCGCAACAATGCTTCGGCGGAGGAGAAGAAGAGGGTTATGAGTGTGGAGGGTTGGGGCAGGCATGCGCCTCTCTATTCCATTCCGCTCTCACCTTTCCTCCCTCTCTCTTTCTTTTTTTTTTTTTTTGAATCTATTCCTGCTGAAGCGTACACGAGAGGGGGGGGGGTGCTTACGGGGTAACATATGTGGGACGGTCACGCTGCCGTCGTCTTTCTTTCCGCCCTGTGGACTGTAATTTATCAACTGTAGTTTGCCTGTGTCTATTCAAGGAAGGCGCAACGGACGCGCAGGGATAGTAAAGCGCCAACAACACAAGGGGGGTGAGGAGGAGAAAAGGGAGAAAGAATAGGGGAAAGCGCCAGACAGGGAGGAATGCGGAGAGGAGATCATTTTAACACGCAGAGAAATTCGTATCAGAACTCACAGTATCATCAAGTAATGGCATCACAGCCGATACTGAAGGAATACGTGGCGGATCAGATGCAGGGCGCCTACTATAGCCCGCCGACCGTTCGGGGCAGCCTTGGGACTCCCAACCTGGGCTATCGATTGGGGTGTTACAGTGGCCAGAGTGGCTCGTACGGTTCGCGCCGCTCCCTTCGGCGTTCTGCACCAGGCAGCTGCCAACAAGGGGAACCCCAGCCAGAGGACTTCAACGTTGTTTTGGTTGCGACTCGACCGCTGTTGAAGACGTTAGCTCGGGAATGCCGACCGTGGCCACCATGGTGTGTTGGTTTTGCAGTGCCGGAAAACCCCACGGAAGAACTCAGGCTTTTTGCGTCATTTCTTCGGGCAACGCCAGAGGAAATAACTTGCAGTGATTCTGCAGTAAACCTTGCGACCGAAATTATGCAGGCAGTGTGGCCTACAGTCGTGATGAAGCCCATGGCGACAACAGCTGCTGGGCTATCGCCACTGAAGGATGTCACGCTTCATTACTACGCCCAGCATTCTCCTGTCACATCGGAAGAAATGGAGCGTGTCCAGAAGGAAATTCAAAACGTTGCCAACAGTCATGGGGCACATGTGGAGTTTGCCACAGATTATAGGGACGTGCCGTGCGTTGTCATAACTGATACCCGATCTGGAAGAAGGCTTACAATACGCTATGGTCCCCAGGCATCATATGCGGAACATCCGTCGAATATATTTCGAACAATAATAGTGTCAAACAGCGATTATCATGCTACGCTTACTTTACTTGATGCTCTCTTGCGTCAGAACAAAATCTTGGATGATACTGGAACAATCAAGGACGCCCTAAACGGCGAAGCGCTTCTCACTATGGTCGTCGCCATCATCAACTCATACAGTTCTTCCGATGTGCCCGATGCAAATCGACTAATGATGGATTTTTTTTTGACATATGGCTTTGCAGCAAACTTCGATCTCGTAAAGCATTCAGTTACAATAAATGGGATGTCGCAACCAACACCCAAAGTCCACCACAACGCCCAAATCAGTGTGCTTGACCCCCTTGACGAAACACGCAACTTAACACCCAAGTTGGAAAAAGCGATGCACCTACAAGCCGTCTTCAACTACTGCTACACGGCGCTCTCACAGTTTACCCAGGTTTCCCAGCGGCAGCGTCGTGCCCAGTCCACGCTCTCTACCATTATCGGTGGGGAGGCGTACTGGGGGCGCGTGCTGCAGCTGTACCATGAAGGAATATCTCCCTACGTGGATGTTGTGGAAATGAAGAAACATATTTTAGTGCAGTCTTTGTAGGAGGTGCCCGACAGGCTGCGAGTGGTATGCACCGCATTGCTAACGAAACTAAAACTACAAAAGAAAGAAAAAAGGATGAACAGCTTTGCTGCCTCGTGCCGGCGAGGAAGCGGCACCCCAACAAGAAACTCAAGCAAAAACATGCAGGTGACAATGCCAATATCCACCAAACATTACGAAGGAAGTGGACCTGTTACGACTTCTCCCCTCATCAAACTCCCTTTATGGTCACCACCGAGTAGTTGAAATGTTTTGTATTGTGTGCCGTTTTTGGATGGACGGCGTCTCTAAAAGCCCGTGAAAGACACTCCACTTCTTGTGTCAGGAGTGTCACCCCACGGACCCATGTTTTTATTTTTATTTGTTCTCTCTTTTTTTTTCGTTCTTT